TTGCATGACAGCACATTAATTTGAATATGTTATTATGCTGAAGGGACTAAACCGACCACTTAACAGGAAGGGACACATTTTTCTAGCTATCAAAGCAAATAGCTTAACCAGAACGCTGTCAGAACAGCATCCAAAAATGAAAGGGCAGTTTCTATTAACACCATGCTGGCAACAGAGCAACATGCAGGGATAGCTGTCTTGCAGGTGTAATGGCTATTGACATGCACATATGTAAACACCCTAACATAGAGGAAGATTAGATTAGACCATATTAAACGACAGGGTTTTTTTTTCCTAATGTTTAAAGCAAACTAGGAAACAATGCTGCCTTGTGGAAGGTTATGGCTAAAATGTATGGCAAGTGTGGATCATGGTGTGCCCAAGGCTGCAGGCTCACCAAGGATGTGTTTGGAGTGTGTTTCCTTTCACAGCAGCAAGAGCACTGGGGAAAAGGAATGAGGATAGTACCAGGCACCCAGGTCTCATCCTGACTTGAAGCTGTGATTTGACTGGGACAGGCACTGACCATGACAGGGCCCCAGAATTGTGCTGTCCAAATACAGCCTTTACTATCACAAACAACATTTTAACAACCAAGTGACACCAATACTTCGTTACCCTGTTAGGACAGTGTAAGTCTGAACCACTTAATAAGATGCTTGAGTGCAAGAGAAATAGAAAATCAGCATTGATGTAATTAACTATGTATGGCTTAACCTGGCCAAACCATTAGCCAAGCTGTTTAATACATGAAACCCATAGAAAGGAGCCCTATGTTTTGTTCCTTTAGGAGCTGTGGAGTGAAAACCTGTGGCTCAGTTTGGCATGTTATAACCCATCCAGGAGCACGAAACTGCTTCTGACTGCAGCCTCAGTTCTCATGGCTACTGAGATTCAGAAGCCAGTGAGATGTGAAAGACCTCAGATCTTGTTGTACTAAAGAGCTATCTGCATCTTTATGCACAAAAATACCCTTTCAAAGGAAAAAATAACCCCTTGTGATTGAAGTTTGCATCAGTACAAATCCCAAGCTGTTTTAGACCATATACACACCAGAATGGAATGTATAATCACCATGCCCATGCCTTCTCAACTTTACTGAGGGCTGGGTTGAAGCTAGTTTGAAAGAAATTACTGTATCTCCTTCTTTAAGCATTAAGCATTCCTGGCAGAAATCTGTGCTTTATAACTAATTCCTCATTAGCACTCCTTTAGACCTGTATAACTGTGCTGACTTTATGCTGCTCCTGGTCCAAGAAAAGGATTATCATCTCAGCACCAAAGTCTGCTCTTAATTAAACTGCTACAGATACAGAAGAAAATCCACTGAAATAAATGGAATGACTCTGGATTTACAGCAGCATAACCAAGATCAGAGTTTGTCTTATTGTTTCCCATCAAATCCGTAATTTAGCATTATAAGGCATAGTGCTCTATACAAACTTCTTTTAGCTGGTGAGACCAGCTTGTTTCACCCACCAGTAGTATGCCACGGTGGCAGGCAACTTTTTTAATGAATTTAATACTCTTTATCTGAATTCCTTATGCAGGAAAGAAAAATACATTTGCAAATAAGAATATGGCACCTGCTTTATCCTGAATAAAAGCATGAATGTGAAGAACAGGAAACCAAATATCTCACCCTGAGTGATGCTGAGCAGCTGCAACTTCCATGAACTTTATATGAGCTGCAAGAACTCAAGATCTCTGTGGATGGTATTTTAGTACATAATGCAAGGTCTTTTTCTGCTCTTTTCTTTCAGGTTTGTCATTTATGCAAAGGAAGACACTAGATAAAATACTATAGAAATTACCGTGTGGAATCCAGATGCCTGAACACAACTATACAAAGCAGAACTTGCAGTGGCAATGCATGTAGAAGCTTGATCAAAGAGAGATCACTAATCATGTACACACAGGTTGGATGAGGGGAAAAGGCCTGAGGGAAAACCGCATGAAAAATCTTCATTGCACAGTAGTTACATTATTGCTTCATAGATTTTTATGGCCTTAAATCCAAGCTAAAAAAGACATTATCTAAGGTGGTCTGGGGGATGCAGCAAGGATATACAAGGGGAGGCTGAGGAAAGGGTAGCTGAGGTTTTGCAGCATTCCAGATTTCACTTACAAGTGATGGAATGGCTGTTAAGATCACTGGAATGATTTCTTGCATGGAAGCAAGCAGGAACTCAAGAAAAGAAAGCAAGATAAGTATGTATGTTTTAGCAGAATTCTTCCTAACTACTAAATTATTATTGGCTGCATACCAAACACTCCACAGAGTGATAAACAACTGTTCATTTTATTTCACTAAACAAAAAGCCCATTGAAAGATTTCTACTATTACTGCATTCACTGGAACTCACTTGGAAAATACAGTTTTGGACATACATCAAATACAACTTTCAGCTGAATAACTGCAGTGGCCTGAGTTACTTTTCAAACATGTCAAGAAAATGTTCTGTTCTTCAGGCAAGAGAACAACAGAGTGAAGCAGTGCACTAACTATAGGTATCAGACATTCCCCGAGGCTCAGAAATAGCTTCTCCTTTTAATTGCCAAGATTTCAGCAACTGGCCTTGTTTTCAGGAGAGCTGAAAGAGTGGGATAGTTTCACATACAGACCCCATTTTTGGTGGCAAGCCAGCAAAAACAGTAGGAATCCCCATATCCTGCCTTGCCACCAAAAAAGGTATGTTTCCAACAGCTGTGTCAGCACACCAGTACGTAGGGCCACACAGTAAACTGGAAAAACGAACCAATCTGGGTTAAAAAAAAAAGCGTTACTAAAAACGGTGCTGCTTTTAATGCAAGCACTGGTTTGATCCCAGTGCAGAGTTACAAACAGCTGTGGCAGCACAACCGTGGGGCCATAGGTGGCGGTGGTGGCAGGGAAGACGAAATCCTTAAGATCTGCAGCCAGGAACAGGCTGTGCAGAGCTGTGTATCAGGCTGTACATAAATGTCACAGTGACACATCACATTTCCTTCAGAGGTAAAGCCAATTATGAAATCTCTCTCTGTGCTCTTTGCCCTGGCTGCTGCAGTTCGTCACCTCCCAAGTTGTGCATATCTTAAACCGGCTCACAGAAATCATCTGGGTTAAGGAAGAAATATCAAAATGGGTTTGTTTTCTAATCTTGCCCCCTGTTGCATTAGCTCAGCTGCAGAAATTGTGAATTACAGGGCTAATGACTGACCATTGGCAAGCTCCTAAAATAGCTCTTGTGTCAAAAGAACCATAAAAGATCCTGAACATTTGAGCCAAAATCAAAATCCTATAAAAATCAATCAACCCTAAGGTGCTTCTGTGTGGACCTGGGGGCAGAAAATGTCTGTGTCCAACTTGAAAACACAGATCCAAATTTGGTGAGCAATGGTTCTCTGAAATGTTGTGCTCCCCACACCTTCATTTTCATGTCTTTACATTCCCCATGTGTCTGTAAAACACTGCCAAAAGCAATTCTTGCTCTGCTGTTACAAATGGCTACCTGAAACCTTAAGACAGTGGAGAAGCAGTCCCTCCCTGTTAGGTTCTGTGGATAATTGTTTTAGGCTCTTTCAATACATCAATCACCTTTAATCAGAATCTGAAAGACATCCCTTACATTTCCGAAGCTTGGTTCTCACACTCAGCAGCATCTAAACTCTGTGAGCAGTTCTGGAAATTAAAAAGCAAGAAACTTTTAAGTCTTTCCACTGTTCATAGCCTCCACTCATTGGTGCAAAGCCCTTTACCAGAATCGTTCAGACCACGTTTATAGCACCCACAAGTCACAATGTATTAAAGTTTGGCAGTCTGGTTACCGCACACTAAAGTGGATCCCCACAGTAACAATTATTTTCTGCTTTACTGACTCAGGGAAACTCATTCTAGTTTTTCTCCCTTTACCTCCCACCAGCCCTTTCATTTCTATGCCATGTTTCTTCATTCTCCCTTGCACCTATTGTGTCTTTTGCAGTCAAAATCCCTACAGCTACTATTTCCCCATCCTGCTACTGTAGACTTACAGACCTGCCCTAAACTTTCCTGTTCACTTGCTTGGCCACACCGCTGAGGGTTGCCCAGTTCAATAAAGCTAACTCGAAGTTGTGAGTCACTGTCAGGAGCTGCTGGGCTTCCAGTGTGTTCCTATGAAATGAGGGTTGCAATTGCTAGGTGTTTATTGTAACTGCAGCGGTTACACAAGCCGTGTAACGTGGTCAGAACTCAAGCACTGTGGCTGGCTACAACAGGTTGCTTCAGGAAATGGGATTTTATAATGTAACAAGAGAAATTGTGGATTTTATCCCTCATTTCTCTTTCGAAATGAATTTCAGTCAGTTTTATGTAAATTCGTTGCACACACACACATATTTGAAAGGGAGTGTTCCCCAAGATCTTTACAATATCACAACTTCGGGTCTTTCTAAAACCAGCAGCTTCACTCCCGAGCACCACCTCAGAAACCCTCTGAAGGGCTGCAGCTGCCTCAGCGGCCTAGGCAGGCCGGAGAGCTGCTCTTAAATATCCTTTCTGTTCAACATGGACACAACCTCCAGCCTCACAAAGGCCCTTCCAGCTGGGAAAAGCAGGACCACATTCAGCTGTAGAAGCCAGCCGAGATAACCTCACGCTCGGGGTCTGCTTGACTAGGCTGGCCTGGGGCACTGCCCTCACCTCTCGCCGGGCCCTCCTCACCAAGCCAGGCCACGACGCTGGTCCACCGGCGCCTCCAGCCCCTCTGTGGGGCTCAGGCTGACGGGCAGTCACAGAGTCTTCCCGCACCCGGCCTGTGGAGCCCCACAAGCACCGCCTCACAGAGCGTCCCATCTCCGGGCGAGCTACTCCTCCGCCGGTGGCGGCGGGCATCGAACCTTTAACTCTCGCCGGCATCCCGCCGCGCCTCACGGGGTCGCTGTGGCAACCTCCGTGCCCCTCGGCCGCACTCCACCCCCGGGCCCGCGATCTCTGAGTCATGCGTTTCGCGATTGGGCCACAATTTCTCGCCGACCAATGAGAGGCGCCGGCTCGCAGCGGCGCAGCGCTTGCCGCTTTCGGCGCCATCTTGCCGCCGCGGGGGTAGCGGAGCACCGGATCGTGCTGGCCCCGCCATGCCGCACTACCAGGCCTGGGAGGAGTTCACGCGTGCTGCCGAGAAGCTCTACCTCGCCGACCCCATGAAGGTGGGGGGGGGACGCCGCACAGGCCTCGCGGGAGGGACGGGAGGGATGAGCGGCCGAGGTGGGCCTTCGCCGCTCGCGGTAGGCCCGGGGCGCAGCGGCTGTGTGGTGAGGCGGTGTCTGCGGCGTTCTCGGTTCGTGTTCTGTGGCTGCCTAGGGAAGCAGGCGGGCACTGAGCAGTGGAGCCGGCTGCGGGGTGGCTTTCCAGGCAGGATGCGGGTCCCCGGCGGGCCGCGGGCTCCTGTTCCGCGTGTGGCGGGACCTGCAGGTGTGCTCAGGGTGGTTGTGGCCTGCACCGGGCGGGCGGGAAGCAGCAGCCGGGAGGGGGGTGCTCATATAAGACCCCCAAATCGCGCGTAGAGGACGGCGCAATAGGTGGTGTTATTGAGGTGCGGGCCTCGAGAACGGAACCTCAGAGACGTGCTCATTTACATTGTACCTGTGAGTTAGAACTGGGATTACGAGTTCTGCGGAATGAAAGGTGTGTCGGGAGTGGATTTGGTTTATGAGTTCAGAACCTTTAACACTGCATCATTTGAATTCGGCTTTCTAAAAAGTTAAAGCTTTCGTTAGGTCTTACGTGGTGATGCCTGCAGTGCCTTTGCAGACTGGAAGGTGCTTGCTTTCTAAAGAGTAATTGCTCTAGGAATATTCTTGCCGTATGACTGCTTTTTGGTTTTGGTAACTTTCAGGAATGTAGTTTGTACAACTGTTAAAAGTAACTTAAGTATTCAGAAAAAGCGCTATAATTTAGCCAAAGAGCAACACAAAAGGCAGTGTGGAACTCATGCTTGAGAAAACATTAGGGGAAAAAAAGACCTAGTTTTCTTCACCAAAAATAGAGGACATGGAGACACCTTCAGAAGTAGTTTGTAACAGTGGATTCCCCAACACTGGGCATGTTTTAAGATTCGTCTGAGCAGGGTGCTGGGACATCTAGTCTGGGCCTTGCTTTGCCTGGAAGGATTGGACTAGATGATCCCTGAGATCCCTTCCAGGTTCTATGATTCTATGATCTGTCTTTAACTAGTGTAGGTGATGACTTCATATGCAGTTGCCACTACCTACTGACAGTAAAACTGTCTTGTTTTACCTTCTTATGCTCTGTAATAGTCAATGAAATGAAAGACAAGGGATGTTGCTGCAGCCAGGAGTTCCTCTTCCCCTTTTCTGCAGGGGCCTCCAAAGGCAGTCCCTCCACATCCATGACAATAAACTTGTTTTGTATGAAGGAGTTTATGTAGGCTCCAGAGTTACAACACGAGTATGGAGAACAAGCCTGAGGAGCTTTTGTGTGTAACTTGGCTTGTCAGGGAGCTGAGGGAAGAACAAGAATCATGGGAAAGAGTGCATGTTCTCCGTGGGCTACTGAGCTCAGTAGTAAATGGTTCTGTCTTGTAGGAACAAGCTATCTATCAAGTCCATGTCTGCTTGTGGCAGCCTCTTTTCTTTTGGACAGTAGGAATTCTCAGTGAGGAGCTGAATCTTGAAAGCAGTTAATTTGAAAGAAGTTCTTCAGTCTTCTGATTTTAATTACTGAGAAAGTACTGCTCTTTGTATCTTCCCTTTCCACTTGCAAAACCATCAGAACACTTCAGATCTGTCTGTAGGCAGTGGTGCAGCTGTTGAAATAACTGTGGTGGCTGGAAACATGACTGGTTTACACATTAGGTTAGGTATCATAGAAGAAAAAGTACTACTGTTAAGCTTACCTCACTGAATTAATCCCTTTCAAGTTTTCATTTAGACTTGATTTTAGATTTAGACTTCTTTCTTTTTTTTAAGTGTTTCAGGGTTATAAACACAAGCTTCCAGTTAGTTCTTCTGAAGTGTCTTGTGTTGCCACACCTCCTGTGGTTCATCCTGTGTGTCACTGAGGTCTCTGCAGTTCTCCTTGCTGTATTTACCATGGTTTTGAACATGTCTCATGTGAAGTTTCTGATGCTACTGTAATACTGTTTTAATATGTTAGGCAGGGAAATGTGATGGTTCAACTCCCATGTCGTCCTGGCTGTGGGATTAGTGGTCACCATGGAGGAGATGAAAATATGAAGCAGTACATACTTATAATAAAAGGTAGTCTGAATGTGGGCAGATTACTTTCAGGTATGCTCTTAGAATTGTTAGCTGTGGACCTTAATTCTTACAATGTTTGTCATTTCAGGTGCGGGTTGTTCTCAAATATCGCCACTGTGATGGGAACCTCTGTATCAAAGTCACGGATGATGTAGCTGTAAGTACAGAATATATTCCTCTTTTGGGGCTTATTGTGCCTCTTGCAGACTTCCATTTTGCTGTCAGTCAGCTTGAGAGCTCTTGGCTGTTGCCTTGAGAGTGCCTGACTGTTCTCTAAACTTGTGCTCAGCCTTCCTTAGTTGCTGTGTTTGTGACTGACACTGACCTGTGGTTCAACCCTGTACAGTCCAGGAAAGCTAAAACTTCAGTGTCCTTCACAGGTGTCAGCATAATTCAGGATTTTAGGAAAACAAGCACTACAGAAATTCTGCAAGCTCTCTCTGTCTGAAAATGCTTCATGGAGTGACATTGGTGGCCTCTGCTGAAGCTTTTCAGGAGCATCTTCAAACACAGGTGTCTAGTAGTGTGAGTGTGGCCCTTTTCATTTGCTCAGAGTGGTGACAACTTCCAACCATAGCTTAAGCTCATTTTTGGTGATTGTGAGACAGTGGAGTGATGATGAGACTGAAAGACAAGATTCCATTGCAGTTCAGAGATCCCATTTTCTGAAATGCTGCCACGGTGTCAGGTACTCATTCAGTGAACACTGGAACATACATGCAACATGGAGTTCTGCACTGTTCTTCCCAGGCTGTTGTTCAAGGAGGTGGAGCAGCTGTACTTACTGGTTGCTCTTGTTCTAAATAGCCTGAAAGGGTGCTAAGAAACATTGAGGGGGGTTAGGGTGGTGGGCATTGGTGTATGTGTGCTAATGTACATGACAGTGCCAGGTTCTTGCTGCTAGTGATGTTGTAGCCAAGTTGTTTTTCTGCAGTTCAGAGTAAGCAATAGTAGTCTGCCCTTCTCTGATCTTCAGACGTGGAAAAAGTCTAATTTCTTCTTTACAGGAAAAGTAGCCTGGCATGGTATTCCAATAGCTGCGAGCTTAATAGGGTAATAGAGCTTGACATGGGCAAGATGTTGAGTTCAGGGCACTGATAACGGGGAATGGGGGCAGTTTAGTTGAAATCTTCCATATGGGAAGTTGGAGTTGGCTGGTTTGTGACTGTGAGCTCTTTTCGGTTACAGGCTTTCCTACCTGCTTCCAGTCAGGGAAAGCTGTTACACTGGGAGATGGCAGGGGATTGGTTTTGTTTGGGATTGGGGGGGGGGGGCTGCCTTTTTTCTAAAGGCAAGAAGGGAAGTTTTCTTTGCTCAATCTGTAGAACTCATACAGTTGAAGGAAAAAAGAAACTGTTTTCTACTGCTTGTCTCTAACTTAAAATAGGAATGTAATACTGGCAAAAGTCACTGTGCTCACAGCACTGAGGAATGGAGTATTCTGGGTTTTCTTCACTATTAGATCAGCCTGGCCAGTCATACTCAGGCTGTACAAATGTAAAGAATTACTTAAGTAATCAAAAAAAACCCTAAGCAGTTTTATTGTAAGTCACTAACATATTGCTTGTCCCTCTTGCATTTACAGACTTGTCATATCAAAGAGTTGCTTTTTATCTTAATCAGATGCAGTGTTCCTTATTTAGGATTGTCTTATGTTTTGCCTAGGGGAAGGGATCCCCATCAGTGGGAAATACTGATTTTGTGTCACTGGCAGTGTAACACCAAGGACTGTGAAAGGCAAGATAAACTTATTTCCATAATACAGTGAAATAGGAAAGGAATTAGATTTAAAATCTGGTTTTGTTTTTTCCAGAACACAAACAGGAGTGTCTGTAAAGACAGCTTTAACCCTAAGTTTTAGCACCTTGTTTGGGAGAGAAAAAAACAGGATAAATCGTGAGCTTCCCTATTTTCAAAATGGAAGGTGTGAGCCTTTCAAAGAAACTTGTGTCAACACAGATGTGTTTTAAAACAGGGTAGACTAGAATTTGTTGCTGCTGCTGATTGGTAATAACATGCCACAAACAAACATTTAAGTACTTGTTTTATGTGTTTCAAGCATAAATATCTTGCAGCTATAAACAGGATAAAACCAGCTTGAGTGAAATCTGATGTGAATCAACTTTTTCTTACAGTGTTTGCTGTATAGAACAGACCAGGCACAAGATGTAAAGAAGATTGAGAAATTCCACAGTCAGCTCATGCGACTCATGGTGGCAAAGGAATCCCGCAGTGCTGCCATGGAAACAGACTGAACTGCTGCAAATACAATGAGTGCTCCCGTCATATTTCACTGGAAGAAGATATCTCTTGGATTTGAACAAATACTGGGACAGGAGATGCTTTCATGAACTAAGTGGACTGATGGCAAGTCTGCAGCATTTCCCCTCCCACCTTCCAGGCTCTGCTTTGGAAAACTAGGGAAATAAATGCTTTCAGTTGAAAGCTTATATTTATTTTGGGGAATTGAACAAGAAACTAGTCTTACCCAGTAGGTATGCTAAGAAGACAAGTAAATATTTAAAATCTATAGTACTTCAATCTGAATTTGATGGGCCACAAGCTTCTTTCTGGAAAGTAACTATTTCATACAGGTTTCATTGTGTTCATACCTTATGCTGGTATATTTGCACAGTGGGAAGGTTTATTAACCTGACTAGTACTGTAGCATGATGACTGGATCTAATAAATATCTACATAAATGATACACATCAGTGGAGTTTAGGAGAACAGATGTTTTCTGCACTGCAGTGTTAAAATTGCCATTATGTATTAGCGCTGTCATTAGCAAGACTTCAGCTTTTACTATTGATCTTGGTCACAAGCTGTGCATTATCTGTGATGCAGTTTGCAGAACACTTACAATGGTTAAATAAAACTTCCGTATTTTAAAAATGGAAGTAGAACTTCACTTGAACATTGCTAGAGATGGGTGAGAAACTGGGATTTTCTTTTCTGCTTATGAAAATATTAAAGAGTAGTGGCTTTTTTCCAGACTTGGAACTATTTTAGACTAGGCAGGGGACCTTTTCCTATCCTTGCTTCAGGCATTGTTGAAGTATATCAGCAAGACAATTTCTGGAATCTCTTGCCTGTTGTATTAATAGAAAAAAATGCAGCCAAACACTCCAGCTTCCTTATTTTAGCAGTTTGCAAACTGCATTTTCAGATATTATATGTGGCAGGTGGATGTCAGCCAACTGAATCAATGGCTGAAAACCAGCTTAATAAACACTTAAAATACCACTGTCAAAAACAGACCAATGCTTCTGTGGTTTAGACTTGTTTTTCACTGGTACTTCTGGGAAGGTGATGGAAGGCTTTTTGCTGGAGATCCCAGTAGCTGAAATGGAACTTGCTCTGACTAGTTCTTGCATACTTAAAACCAGATGAGTATTTTAATGAGATTAGCTTATTGGCATAACTAGACTTTTCCAGGACTAATGTTTTGGGTTAAACCAAGCCACAAAAGTCTGTAGTGGCATTTATGTAACAAAACAATTGACTGAAATAGCTACCTGCTGTCACATAAAAATAATTGAGCTACTTGGAAGTAGTATCGTTCCCACATTTGCCAAAGGCTTGGAAAAAAACCCAGGCTTGAATATTGCATTAGAGTACCCTTTTAACTGAACATATGACGATGCATATTGTTGGAATAGAGCTAAATTCCCAGTGAAGACTCACATCCTAGTCTACAGGAGTGACTGGTGTGTATGTAATGGGTTTGGGTTTGTATTGGCTTTTGAAATACAAATAAATCCAGAGAGAAGGTTAAACTTTGAAGTTAATGAAGATGCTGTAATAGTGAACATTTTCTTGATGCTCCAAATTATTTTCCTAATGTTTGCAATATAATATACCAAGTAGCTGAACCACTTTTGTCTAAAGCACTGCTCTGTGCTATGAATGGTCCCTACACAATGTCATGCAAAGATTTAAGCTGTTAAACTGGCAGGTGAAAAGGCTGCAGCTGCTCTGGTGTAGTTTTTGGACATCTTTTATAAAATGGTTTGGCATGTAGATGTCTTCTGTGAGCTGAAGTACAGAAAGGCTTGATTGATCTTTAGGGTCTCTTCCAACCCAAACCATTCTCTGATGATGATGATACTTGCTTATGCTTGAAGGATACAGTAAAGAGAGAGAGAAGACTGTGGACAGACTGTGTGTGTATGTGTGTGTATATATATATATATATTTAAGCAGGTTTTAGAAGAGGGGTACTGTTGTCCAGTGGAGATGGGGATTACAGTACTATGTATTACAGTAGCAGCTGTCAAGCAAAAGAAGCAGGGAAATGGATTTCTGGTTTTCTGAATTCAGAGATTATTTCTGTAAAACCATAAGGAAAGACTAATGCTACTTTTGTAACAGATGTGTTGTTCAGCTTGTTCTCCATATACTCACAGAAAAACCAGGGTGGTTCTGTGCAGTCAAGAATACCAGTATACTGCTTGAAAAGAAAAGAAAAAAGCTTTTGGAAACAACTGGTGCTTCTTGACTGTCCTGGAGTTTTCAGCATCTTCAGTACTGTGTGTGATCTTAAAGCTCTGCTTTTTTTGCTCTTGAGAGTGCATACATACACTGATCACTTCCCTGAACCTTCAAGTTCATCGTATTGCCAAATACTCAAATGTGGCCATTGGTATGTGATGAAAAACCCAGCTTGATGCGGTTGCTGTGCCAAAGGGGTGACTGGCTGCTCTGCATGTGAAGCACTGAATTTGGCAGCCCAGCATGTGAGCAAATGCTTCTGATCACCACGTGGGAGTTTGTGCCAGTCACAGGCACAAACAGGAGCAGATGGGCTATGTGTGCTGCTAGAAACAGGTAATCTTTGAGAAGGGGAATGATTAAAAAGGACCTTTTTGCTTGCTGTAGCTAATTTTGTTGCTGCATGTTAGGTATCTTCAGTAATTGCTTTGTGAGAACAGTTTAATAAAGAATATTGTTCTTGTTATTGCATAAAGAAATTGGATTGGTTTACCCATGGAATTTATTCTGGTTTTCTGGTGTTCTCACTTCCCAGATTCTCTGAGTGCCTTTACTTCAGTTCTTTCTTTGTGCACAGCACTTAAGCTTTGTGTCTCACATCTTCCATGCACTACTATCACTTCTGTTTTGCCTAAGGGATTTTAACCCTGATCTTCTACAATGTAGTCTGTTCTGTAAAGTGTATTCTGGATTACATAAAGGTCCTTAAATTATCTGTAGAAGTGAGAATTTTGATGACAGGTCTTTGATTTAGAGATCCTTATGGAAGGGGCCTGTGTTTCCACTGATGTCCTGACCTGACACTTTTAAGAGTGACAGATTTATTCTGTAAATTTGGCTGCTTTGGTACACAGGTCTGTCACAATGGGAAGTGGAACTGAAGCCAAGCAGGTGCATTTAAAAATGTTTTAACTTGTCAAAATAATTACATTTTATCTTTCTAAGTTCCTTCCTGCAGTATGAAAGTGGCTAATAGTATTTTGCTATAATAAATGTGAAGAAAGCCTGCTTTCTGCCAGATGTGGTTAAGACTCACAGAATCACCAGGCTGGAAGGGACCTTAAAGCCCATCCAGTTCCAGCCCCCTGCCACAGGCAGGGACACCTTCCACTAGAGCAGGTTGCTCCAAGCCCTGTCCAACCTGGCCTTGAACACTGCCAGGGATGTGGCAGCCACAGCTTCTCTGGGACCCTGTGCCAGCGCCTCAGCACCCTCACAGTAATTATTTGTTCCTAATACCTAATCTAAATCTCTCCTCTTCCAGCTTAAAGCTATTCCCCCTTGTCCCCTTTGTCACTAGAGGCCCTTATGAAAGTCCCTCTCCAGATTTCTTGTAGGCTTAGATGATACCATCGGTTGCTGTTAAAAGATGACGTTATCTGGAAGCCCTCATACTATAGGCAGAACACATCCTCTCCATCTTTAGTAAGGATGGTAACAAGCTGTTATCCCCGCAGTGCACCAGTGCTTTTTTCACTTCTGGCTTTATGAGAAAAAATGATACTGTAACTACCTTTTAAGTGAAGTTTGAGATCTAAAGTAGAAAAATGAATATATAGCAAATAGATGTGCTTTTTTCCGTATAATTTACTCTTGTCTAGACTGCAGCTTCTGCACAAGTCCCATTTCCTTCAAGAGTCTGTGAACATTAGTGGGTGACTTTAGGGAGTAGAAGCTTAGCTGAAAACAGTATTATTCTTTGTACAATATGCTCTGTGCTAAGGAAACTTTGAAATTAATTGAATGGAACAAAGCTGTTTTGGTCAAGTGTATCTTGGGAGTCTTCTTGTAAGATAACTTTTTAAAGGAAGCTGAAGAACTAATCCTATTTCTTTGCTCAAGTTATTAATGATTACTTCTCAAGACATGGGGTGTCGATTCTGAAAAGCTGATACCACTATAAAGGTAGATGCTGTATGACTCAACACAGATGTTTGTTTATGAAGGTTTTATTTTTGTATAAAAACTTTGAGAGTTCAAAGTTTAAATACAAGCTAGAGTTGAATTGTCTTTGTTGCTGGGGGATGACAAAAACATGCCTTTCATCTCTTACTACTTTTACTGTAAGTAAAAGAGCGGCTTCCAGATGAACCTACCCGCCTTTGCACTGAAGGCAGGTGTGGACTTTTGAGTTTATAGAATTGTTTTAAGATGAGAATGATGCCACAGTATTTCAAGAGACAGATTAGTTACTCAGCAAAATACAAAACATGGTAGCTTGCTAAGCCCTGCTGATTATGCAAGCTTATGTAGGTCCTGTAACTGCTTTAACAGCCTAAATGCTCCCAAGAGAATGTGGGCTTAAACTGGACCATGTAACACTGACGCCTGTGGAAACTGAGCAAATAAAACCATGGTAACAGGATGATAGCAGAGTTAACTGCCTTCGTGCAAGTACAGGCCCTATTGTTGAACGTAATCTTTGCTTCTGGTGAAGGTAGTGCTTATTTTCTGTGCCAAAGCTAGTTATAGGTGTGAGTCCTCTAATGGGAACGCAATTACTTTCTGCCATTCTAGAAGCATCTTAAGTAATGAGTGCTATTTCTGAGTGCTCTTAGGTGGAAATAGTCTAATTGCATTGTACTCAGCCTGTAAGTACTCCTCATACAGGAGGTGTTGTGAATGTCAGCATTATAAAACTCGAGTATTGTGCTTCTCTTAATGTTTATGAAAGTGGGGTTTATGAAAGTGTTTTCTATTTAAATCAAGACCAGCTCTGTGGATATTTTGCTTTGTTTTTGTAGCAAGTTTTGATTTTGTGCACACATTCTTTGCCTCTTTTTTTGTGGCAGTTTTTAGTCATTAGAACTTAAACCACCAGTCATACCGAGAGGTCTGGGAGAGATTGAGGTTTGGGTTTATTTTCTTTGAAGTTGTGTTTGCATGTTGGGTTCATGTTTTGTCTAGAAGAAGTGGTATCTGTTCATAAAAGGACTAGTCTGTATTGTCCTGCTGCTACTGAGCAGAATCTTCCTGAGTACAGGCATGTGTTTACAGTGGGATTCTAGAGCCTGGCTTCTTGGAGAGGGGGCTGAGTTTCCTAGACACCTACTGAATGGCTTTACTGGCTGATAGTGAGCAGGTGGGAATTTGCTTCTTGCATTGGCTAGCAGAAATACATATTTTAACTGGGTTGCTCATGCATGTAAAGACAGCCATCTATAATACAGTTCTGCTATCATTATGCAGCTAAAAGATGAAAGGCTTGCCTCAGGGCACTGACAAATGAGCTCTGGCAAACTGCGTGTGGCTTAAAGATGCTACCTCCCAAAGGCATCTGCTCCTTTCTGGAGTCAGCAGGCAAGAGGGTGAACTAATGCCTTAAATGTGTTCCTGTGAAAGTGTCTTAGTGTATACTGCCATAAAGGATACCTTTTAAATCTGGGGGCAGGAAGGAAACTGACCTTCTCAGTGAGTGATTGACAGCTGTGTTTTTTTTATTAAGCACATTGGCTGTGGTGGTGCTGGCCTATGAACAAGATTCACTAGGGATTATTTGTCTGTGCCCAGAGGCAAGCTTTTCCTCTGTGTTGGTCACACAGCAGACCCACATAACATGACTAGATTTAAACATGCAGAGAACCAACCACGTTTTAACAGAGCAAACAGCTGCTTTGCAAATAGCTTCTTAACCACTGCAGCATCATTGATCATCTAAGGAAAGTGCAAGGCCTGGGATTCCATGGTCAATGTAACAGCTGGTTGCTGGTCCCTGTTGCTTGTTACCCTGATTCCAGTGTGGTTCAGCCATCCAGGTGGCTGAACCTTGAAACACAAACCCTGAAACACCTACTGTGTGTGATTTCAATTGGGGGTGAGGATGGGTTATCTTGATTTCATGATCAGTTTTCCTTCCCTGTTCTAACTTCTGTGTTAAGCTTCCTGCTTTTCTGGTTCTTCAGTCCTTTCTTCTTCACTTGTTTTAAACTTATCCTTCAGATCGTTCAGACATGTTCCTCTCCCTCTATAGAGTTGATAATGGTGACTTTTTGGTTTGCTTGGGGGAAGACGATTGTTACGCAGTTGCATCTTCACATTCTACTTGTGGGCGTTAATAGAGGATTTTGTTCTCAAATCTGAGCTTCGGTAGAGGAAGATTCTCCATTGTCACGCTTGCCAAGAATACATGTGTACATGTCACAGAAGCATTAATAATAGACTGCATGACCACTTCCTTATCTAATAATGTAATCCAATAGTATAAGAATATCCAATAGTATAAGAAAATAGTGGTTTTGGATATCAAAAAAGTGCTTAGGCTTTAGCAAATGAGAAGATCCTTCTGCTTGTGAACCAGAAGCATCTTATGGTCAGTATCATTAAAGCACAGCTGAAAAACTAGTACTTAATGATTGGCAATTTAAGAGGGTTAACACCCTTAGGAAGACATATACATAAGAGTGGTATCTCCACAGTAGGAACTTTGAACTATCCTGCTTCATGAAAGAAAGAACTGGAGGGCCCTAAGGAGAGCCTGGATGACTGAAGACGCCTGTTTTAAGAACATGGGACAACCTGGATGAAGTATGAAACTACTTCTTTAACAAGCTGGAGAGGCTGGAGTTACTGGCTAGCTAGAGTTTGGAGCTGGCATTGTTATAACATTTTTTCTATCCCCTGTTTGTTATTTTTCATTAACTAAAATAGTCAAATACAGAATCTGTATGGTACCTATAGGTTATAAAGTTATGACAGTGGGGCATAATGCAGTCGTGTTTCTGTCATCCTATAAAGGTTATGTTTTACCATGAAACACAGTTGTACCTATATGTGTGTGAAATCCCTGTGGTCCTACAGAAGCAAGATGGGTTGTTATTAACACTTTTGTTGGCTAAAGCAAAGCCATGTGGAGCTGCTGGTGAAGCCAAGTGCCTAAGTAGGGGTAAAACTCCCACCTAGCGTGTTGGGGGTGGAAGAAGAAAACAACAAAGCTGTACTTACAGAATGATTTAGGCACTTGTTGCTTTAAGACACTGAAAACACTACATTTAACTACTAATGGCTGCTCATAGCAATATGGCATGAGAACTGCACCACGTACCCTTTGTGCAAAGGACTGACGGGGATGACTGGGTGGAAGAGGTTGAGAGATGTGAAAGGAATTGTCTGGGATCACAAGGTTTTTGTTTGTTAAAGACTTTTCTTCAACAATGCAAACAGAGAACTGATGTGGTGCAGAGGTGATGAAAAGGTAAAATTGGAACTTGGGAGGGAAGGGATAGGTGAAAACTGTGACTGAGTGGAAAAACCTCAAAGAGCTGATGAAGAAATTAAGTTGCTTGTTAGGTACTTACGGATAGGCTTAGTTGCTACTGCTGGACCTTCTGAGGCTTGCTCTGATCTCTCTCACCAGGTCTGGAAGACAGGCTTTGGAGAATCCAGGGAAAAGCACCCTGGTACATGGGTTCTTAGTGTTGTCACGCACACAGCTGTGTTGTGTGGGACAGTAGCTGGGCAGCTGGAAGCAATCTCCATGTGCTTCTCCGAACTCATCCCTGCTACAGCGCTGTGAGTGCTGCTGAGATCGGCTGAGGAGCCACTTGGGAAGCTCACACGTAGCCGCTGTGCCCAAATTCTGCCGTTCCAACGGTGATTTGTGTTTAATGGGTTGCAGCCTGTAGCGCTCTGTGACCAGCTGTGCCCTGCAGCTCTGGTGAGCCCCATCACTGCCCACTCACCGGTGTTTGGTCAGTGCGTTCCAAACCCCGTGTTTGGGGCCGGCATCGAGCGCATAAAACCTTCGCGGGTCCCCAGCTGAGGTGGCCGCAGAGGGCCTCAGCTGCGGCCCGGGCCGCAAGCCAGCGCTCCCCGCCTCCAAGGCACGAACTACACCTCCCAGCGGGCTGTGGACACAGGGGCCCGGCCGGTCCTGTGCCCCTCTCCCAGTGGGCGGCCCCGGCGGCGAGCACAGCGAGGGGAGGGCGGTCCGGTCCCGGTGCCGGCCGCGGCAGGTAATGGCGGGCGCGGTGTGAGGGGAAGCCCGCGGGCTCGCTCCGTCGCCTGAGGGGAGAGTCTCGAAACCGCGCTCCGCGGTCGGGTCGTGCCTTATCTTACCTCAGCCGCTCCGAGTCGCTCCGCAGCCGCCCGGCAGCACGACCGCGGCGTTGAACCCGCGTTTCAGCCTTCGCCCCGCTCGTGTGGCGACGCGGCCGCGGCTGAGGTAACGGGGCCCGCGGGGTGTTTGAATTCCCGCCCGCGGGGAAGCGGTGCCTCGGCGGGACAGCGCTGAGGGAAGAAGGGGCGAAGCGAGGGCTCCAGCCCCGGCTCCCCGTCCTCCCATCCTGTGGATACCGTACTCAACACAGGTGGTTGTGTGTGCAGCGTCTCCCGCCGAAGCCTGCACAGAGTCAATCCGGAGGGGGAGCGGGGACCCCCGAAAGCGGGTTCTGTGCTTGCAGGGCTTAAATACCATTGTTTTAAAGAGTGTGTGCCCCTCTGCCAGCTGGTCGCATCAAAATGCTATTAACAGTGGGTATTATTAAAGTTTGAATAATAGCTGTGGGCTGGGTGGAGGTGTTTGGGTTGATTTTGGGAACGGAAAGTCCTTAATGTGTTTTGGGGGGAGAGTGGATGCGACATTCCTTGCTGGAGCCAGGGTTGTTTGTCCGGAGTCAAGTTCTTGATAAGCTGGCCTCAATGCTAGGAATACTTTTATGTAGTGTGCATTGGGAATCCGGCCAAGTTCCCTGGTTTAGTTAGGAGTAAGGGTTTTAACTATAGTGATGTAATAGACTGGTCTGGGGTTTGTTATTCATCTCTAAATGGGGATATGAAATGGAACTTCATGGGTCATTTGCCAAACCTGGAAACTGTGTGAATGAGCATCATGTACATAGTCCCCTTTGCTGAACAAGCAGTTTGGGGATGAGAAGAAAACCTTTTAAGTTTAATGACCCTATTTTGTTGCGTAACTGAGCAATCTGCAAAGACCAAGCAAATGACGCACTTGCTCCTCAAGTTTGGCTCAGTTTGTCAGAATTCAGATGGGATTTTGACTTTGCCCTGCAGTTAAAATACACCATAATCGAGTACATTGCTTAATTCTCCAATTCTGTTGAATTAGGCTGCTTTCTCATCCCTTATTTCCATAGCAAAGCTTTATCTAAACTGAGAGAACGTGCCCAGTTGTTGTAGGTGAACCTGCGAGATGGGATCAGTCTTGGAAGCCAGTGCCTCAAATTTACTTACACAGCCACAAATGCAGGTTTGATTGGCACTATTCTTTTGAGCTGCCGTGCTTCTGCTCCGAAATGGATATTACTCCTGTCTGAAGTAAGCAGAAACTGAGACTTGAGTGCACAGATTGCTAATGTTTACTGAAAATCGATAGAAGATAGGCACCAAAAGCAATTAGGCAGCTTGGGAAATCGATCCACAGTTGAATTTGTCCAAGGACAAGGATTAGATCTTTGTCAGAGCTGAAACCTTTGTGGGGAAGGTCCCGGCACAGGGTCAAGTTCGTGACTCTTTGTTCTGCATCTTTCCCGGTCTGAATTCATATGTAAGAACTTGTGTGTGATTTCCTTAAATTCTTGTTATTTCTTCTGAATTCTGTTCTTTTTCTTTCATAGGGGTAATCGTGGTGTTGAAGTAAATAATTCAAAATAGAACACAGTTGGTGCTCTATTGCTAGTGCAGCCAGAATCCACATGCAATTTGTCTGTGTAAATTGCCCAAAATAGGTTTTTGGATTACTGGGTGATTCAAAAAGCCTTTTTCCCTCCCCTGTTGATCTACTGTACTTCTTGTCTCTGGTCTTTCCAGAGGGTAATACCATGTTTTCAGCCTGATTGTTTATCTGGGGTTTCAGCAAAGCTTTCAGTCCTACCCAGTAATTTTAGCCATAGAACTGCAATGTTTTAGTATGGTAAGCACTGTGAAACAAGTTCAGGTTTCTTAGTAGAATATACATGGCCAATTTGTGCTAAGTAATTATGACAGGTAAATAGAAAGGTTTGGGGTAATAATTCCAGAATGCTAGCACTCCCAGAAATTCTTGTTTCCTTAGTAATAGTCTGTCAAGTAATTTGTCAGGGAAGAAGTAGCAAAGTCGGGATGGGGGTGGTAGGTGAAGTATAGCTTATAGCCCTAGGCAAAATGAATTGATTATCTTACTTATTCCTACGCACGTTTCTTGGAATATAGCTGGAGCATTCAAATTTTGTGGCCAGAGGAGCAGAGGTAAATCCCTACCTTTAGGGCAGAGTGTGCACAGTTTGGTTGAGCCTGGAAAAGGGGTTATTTTTTCATACAACACACAGTTCCAGAACCAGGGCAGTCTTCTTTAATGTGTGAGTTCCAAACATGGCAAATGGATCTCTAAGTACTGTGCAAGTCCCTAAAGAAAAGTCACTTGGAAAGCAGGGTGTTTTGCTTCTCTCTGAAGAGCTCTGGTTTGCTTATAATTAATGTTCAAAATACTTTCTCCCCTTCTGAATACTGCTACTGAAAAAGTCCTGGATTCCTCCTCTGGACTAACACATTATTTTTAATTGAAAGCATAATTTGTGTATGTAAATGTGTATTTACATAAATAATAAAGCACAACAATCTACTTCTGCTTGGCGTTTGCTTTAGTATCTTGGTCATGCTGGACTTAGCAGGATGGTTAATACAACGAATTTAATATACCCTGAGTTTTACAGGGTTTTCTTTTGTTGTTTGGTTTTTAGCTGCATTATCAGCTTTGATATTTTTAAGCACATTTTTATTGATTAAGTACTTTCTGATTGGCAGGGCTGGGAGTATTATTGTGGGACTCACAGTAGCCACACTTTGGGAGTTGCTTTTTTTGTTAAGTGTATGTTGCTGTCTTCTAGTGCATTGGTCAGAATGAGGAAATGATCTGTGATGGTGTTTATGGAGTGAAGAACAGGAGCTTTTTTCTAGGTTTCTTGCCTGGAAAGTGAGCTGTTCTCCAACATTCCTCCAGCTTTCCTTGGAAACATCTCTGCTGGGGATTATGAGGTGTAACCTACAAGACAAGTAAAGGCTCAGCAAGCTTTTATTTGCGTTCTTTCTCTACCTCAAGCAGTTCTTGTATTTATTGCGCCCAGCAGTCAATTGTGAACTTGTTTTTCCTTCTTTTGAACTCTACAACAAAGGCACAGAACCATTTCTCTACCAGTTCTTTCTGCATGCCCTGGCTGCCCACCACATCTGTAACCCTGGGTGTGCTTTGCTGTCTAATAGGAGTCTTTCTGTCAGGTTGAATGGCCATAATATTATGAATCAAAAATGAAGCTCTGTTAAAGGACCTGGTCCTCTTGCCTGCTTTATGAGGAGTGTTAATTGCTCTCAGCTGGTGGGTACAGGTAGTGCACTTCTCTAGATGAAGCCCTTAAATCCAAAGGGGACTTAAATATTTAGTTATTGCTAAGAGAGAGATGAAGTAGCAAGAATTGTTCTTGTTACATGTTTACTCTGGCACATCCTTTTGGTGTTGCAGTTATTTGATAGAAAATGATGACTACCATCTGTTCCCCTCCTCTCTCATCATTTTAAGTTCCTTTTCCTTTTGAGAACGAAGTCTTCATAGAGAGATAACAAGTTTCTATCTCTTCCTGTTTCCATAGTCACAACTTATAATAAAAGTGGGGTTTCTTTCATTTTACACTCTTGTACATGTTTTCATTTGTGCTGCCCTTACTATTTGGAGTCATGATCCTAATTTACAAGGTGCACCTCATCTTACTCTTTTGCAGCTTGCCAAAAATTTCCTCTGGCAGTCCTTGTATTCATCATTTCCATCTCCGCACCTTCTTTTAACTGGAAGGTTTTCATGTACTTTGTTCCTACGTACTTTGAGAGTGCAAGATTTCAAACTGTTCGCACTCTTCCCCTCTAAGGCACCATGTACACGTCAGTTCTGTATGTGTTAATAATTAAAGGGTTTAGTAACAGAGTTTTCTAACAGTGCTATAATACAAAAAGCTTGTAAAGCTTTTGAAGATCTTTTCCTCTCTGATTTCATGGAAGAAACTGAAGAGAATTAGACTAATGGAAAATCCCACAGTAAAAAGGAGGCCACGTGTTGTGCTGTACCACCAAGAAGTATGAGAGGAATCTGAGTCTTATCTAGAGATCATACCAGGCAAAACATTGGCACTAATACTATGGCAGAGGAGGAAGGCAAGCTTTTACTTTTTGGAACTGGAGGATTTGGTGAAGCTAAAAATAGAACCTAAATTTCCCTTAAAGCCTGAGGAACAATTGCCTTGATCTCCTTTCCTTATCTGTAGTATCCAATTCATTTGGTTCATCTGCATGCTTTTCCAGCCCGTCTGTAAAATGCAGATACTGGCATAGGATGTGAGGAGGTTAACCTAGAAACTGGTGGAAGGCAGAGCAGAACAATGTGCTATTCATAACTTCTTTTCAGACACCAGGAATTAAATGTTGAAGTAAAGCTCAAGATGTTCTTTGGAGTGTATTTGATTGCACTGTGTCACTGAGTTGGCTGGAGAGTGGCTAAGAACTGTCTTAAAAACTATTATTGGCATGATATCCTTCTCTTTGATAGTAACATGTGCTTTGAGAGCTCTGACGAGGAGACCCGGCTTTCAGCTGTGTTCAGCCCCAAGTTGATGCCAGGCTTCTGTCATTTCTGTGCATCCATTAAAAAACCCCTCTATTGTGGGAATTTGAGAGTCATTAAATAGGGTAAAGGCTGAATAGGATAAAATCTTTGTATGATTTAACCTTAACATTGTACCTATCAAATGCATTATTATGACAGTTTTATAAAGAGTTCTTTTGCACTTAGTTACTGTGACATGGTCATTAGGTCACAGTAATTGGCATCACACAGATCCTAGGTTGGATTCTGCCAGTTTGTGTTAATGGAACACAAAGGCTTTTTTTAGACTTTCTGAAGGAAGTGGGTTTGTTCAAGCAGAGTAGAAGCACAATGAGGAAAATTGAGATAAACAAGACATGGTTTTAAGCAGCACATGAGAATGCATTGGGCGTGGATTTGAAAGACCAAGTAATGTTGCTTAAATGTGTGTTCTTGCAAACTGAGTATCTTCCTCTTAAAAATGTGGCATGCAGTATTTTAAATGATGATGGTGATACGAGCTTTGACCAGCTGGTAGTTGCGTAAATAAATGCCACCTCAGGGCGAGGCAAAGTGGGTAACAGTGAACTTGGTCCCAGGCTCCTTTCCTCTTATCTGAGTGCTTGGGTCTGAGTGCCCATCAGATTTCAGTGCAGTACTGAAAAGGTATTAACACTTGACTGTCATAGTATCATAGGGTAAAGAGGTGGGATATAATGTAAAGGTGCTCAACTACTCTCCTGGAATGAAGTGCCTCGGGGACTAACTGCAGTAAGTACAAGTTCTGGGTGATGCATACAGGTACCCCCAGAGCCTTAAACTGGCTCTGTGTTGGTTGTTCCTGATGTCCAAGGGCAAAGCAGATGAAGGGCTGCAAGGGAACAGTGCCTCACTGCTGCAGGCACAGGGTGTTCCTCAGTGGTGATGGAAGTGTTATCCCGACCCTGTCTTAGGTGCAGTGCCCTTCTCCTGGGAGAGGTCTTGCCATCCCCCTGAGACAGAAAGTGTGTTTTTTCTCCTTCGACCCCTTGTTTGTATTCTTTCAAGTAGGTTCCTGCTGTACTGTCTGATTTCTGATTGTGAACAGTATAGAAAAAGATCGTGGAACAGAATGATACTATCTCTTCCTGCTGTTTTGGAGACAACATTGTGTGCCACCTCCCTATGGCAATAAAAAATGTAAAAGCTAAATTTCTTACCGAGACAAGCCAGAAACTCTGTTGGATTTTTATTTCCTGTGTTTGAATTGCTTCTCTGCGTAGGATGCTTTATTTCATCCCATGCCTACCTCTCCTCCTTTCCTACAATGTTAATGTATCCTCTTATGCTCACCTGGGAGATGTTACCAGTTGTATGCAAAGCAATTTCTGTGTTGCTAAGCTATTTTGAAGCTTGTCATAATGCTTCATAAACTACATAAACAGCATGCTTTTCCTATACAAATGTCTTGACTTCATGGTTTTCTGCCTGTTTCTCGTGCTATATAAGGACAAAAAGGTGGTAGGTACCTGGAGCTGGTAGGATGGAGACTGAGGGTGAAGCTTCTGGGACTGTCCTTTTTAGGCTGTCAGTGCTAAACTCATGGCTGTTAGAGGTGCCATGGGTTTTTTAAGTCCTTCAGTGTGTTGTTTTTCCTTCAGCTCATTTTGGGAGGAGGAACCTGCAATTGCTGCTGTTCAGATCTGTAAACAAAGGCACTGCAGCATCCTTTTCAGTAAAGCCTGATGGGTGAGTTTATGTAACACAACAAAAATAAATGGAAACATCACATCTAAATTGAGCTGCTCTTTCTCCTGCAGAATAATTATCAATAAAGCTTGTATCTGACAGCTTCAGAGTGTCCGAAGTGCTCTGAGCTTCCTTGCAGCCTGGTGGTAAACCAGCTTTGGGGAGAAAATTTTACTGACTCTAAGCCATGATCACCTCTGGCATGTGTCTGAAAGCAGCACAGTCTCTTACTTCACTCAGGCACCAGCTGTTTTGCACTTACAGGGTTTGGTAGCACCACTTGGAGCTGTGGGTATTTGGTATCATTCAAGCTGGGATGCATAGTGTTTGGGCCAAAACAGATTTCCAGACATAAGGCTGAAGGTCTTTCTGTTTGCTTATTTTTCTAATAACAAGTTTCAGATGGATTCTAGTGCTGCAAGGCAGAGGTCAGTGATTACTAGTAGAACAAGATGAGGATTTTACCATTAAGCACTGTTCTCTGGGGCATGTTACTGGATACTGCTCAAGACAAGGCATGAGGCAGGATGTAGCTGAGACGTAAATAATGATTTCTCTGATCCTGTGGGACTATTTACTGTTGTTAATGCATGAACAGTGCAAATCAAAATGCAAAAGGTTGTTGAAAATTAGTGTTTTCAATATAGGAGCAGTAGGATACTTCAAGAGAGTTTGGGGGTTTTCTTGCAAACAAGATACATTTGACCTTCAAGAGGAGCTAGGTTTTGGCCTATTTACTGGAGTCATCACATTTCACTATTTTTCTTTCAAAACATGTTTTTAAAGTAGCCAAACAAAAACATTCTTCCTTGCGCTCTTTAGGATAAAAGTACAGTCTAAGGTATTTAAGTGCTGCCTACGAACAATATCCACCCTAGGGTACAGCAAAGTCTTGGAGCCTAAGTACTTGACCATGGAATAAATGGAAATATTTCCTTCTAAGACCTTGCCTTTGGTCACATAAAGAGAGGAAAAAGCCAAAGCAAAACATGAACTCCCTTTGAAAGAGTCATTTATAAAGGCAACATGCCAGCATGGCTGCATCAGGAGATTTCAGAGAATAGAAACACCAGCACTTTGTTGTTGTACATACCTGAAAACTGTGAGTATAGAAGAGTTTTATTGTACCTGTTTCTCCTTCCACATTTGTGGTGCTGTATCGTGGAGCAAGTGTATGGGGCTAATAACTTCCATTTGACAGCAGATCTCAGTAGTGATTAGCAGAGGAAATTCTGGTGCAGATGCATCACAACTGAGGCTGCTTTATGCTGTTCAAATAACACACAGGAGTTTGAGAACTGACTTGAATAGCAAACTGGGGAAATCAGTGAGTGCATTTGCTGTAAGTGCTCTCCTCGGCACAGGCTGGAGGGGTTGGTAGGAGCATGCTGGGTTCCAGTAACTCATCACTAGCAAAACAGGCCCTTTGAGTGTGCTCTGAACCGATGCAAGTTAAAATACTGCTGATGCACTCAGTCCTTTCTCTTCCTGTGTGCTCAGGAAAAAATGTAGTATAGTTGGAGCTCTAGGCCCCTGTGTTCTTTGTAACTGGGGGATTTTACAAGCACTTTCAAGGGACCTGAGACAGTTTGAAGATAGAGAGCAACTTGGGGTCTGTTAGCAAAGAAGAATCCAACTGGTATCAAAGGTGACTTCTTCCAAGTCAGAAAGACATCTCACGCAAATCGATTTGTCACCAGCCCAATTCTCTGCAGGAGGAGACAGAACTGTTGTGAGACCTGAAGTTGTTTTTTGGTGTTTGTTGCTGGATTGTCGACAAGCTCCTCCTCAAGTGTTTGGAATTAATTGCAAAAATAGGGATCTTTTTACATCACAGGTTCTTTGTACACGCAGCCCAGGGTGAATGCAGAATACACATGTTCACGCACAATCCCTTCTGCTGCAGAAACCCTGATTTCTCATGTCTCTTTGGGAGAAACAAATATTTTTGGACCTCTGGGTACTCCAGTCACTTAGGGCATAGGAGTATCTTGATAGAGCGTGGGCTGAGATTCTGTTCCTGGGTAAAGCAGCTCTGTTAGGGGCTGTGCCTCTGTCACCATGTTGGCAGAGGTGCCGATACAGCATAGGCCAGGAGAAAAAGTCCTCTGTTCTTGTAAGTACCCCAACCATCCTGCCTGGACAACAGTGCTCGCACTGACAGCAGCTCTCTTTTCTCCTGGCATGGAAAGCCTCATGTTGTGGGGCTTTGCAAACGTATTGAAGTTGGCCAAGAGTGTGATGTTTATGTGGTGCTTATTATGCAGGTGAGCCTTTGTCGTCTAGACATGGCCTGAGTTGTGCTGTGATTTCAGGGAAGTTGCTGTTCTCTGTGCAGACTCAGTAATAGACGTGCTGCTAAATACTGTGGTAGGTATTATTTCTATGCAAAGTGCTCTGAGGTTTCTAAAAGCCCCTCCGGTTCTGCTTTGCAGTAAAGTTTAATGGTGCTCCGGAGGCTCCTAGACTGCATTGGTTTATGTGCTGAGGCAAGCTGAAATCGGATCAACTTTTTAATTCTGGGATAATTCTTAGCCTGAGCATGGTGGAGGTGGGAAAAGATCATTGTCTTGTGCTCCAGAGAACATTGTGGAGAAAAACTAGTACCTCCGCAAACAGGAACTACGCAAGGTCCAGTAAAACTAATGAATAGATGGAAGTTCTTCCAGTGCCTATCGTTCCCATTTCTCCAGCCTCTGAAGAGCAGTTTTCAAGGCTGTAGCACTTGCATGTGTAAGCAATAGATTTCTTTAGCTTGATCTCTATCTGCAAAGTGCCTGACTCCTGTACAAGTGTCTTATTGGGTGCTTATTTTGACCATTTCATTGTGAGCCATTAGAAAATGAAGCTCAAGAGGCTGACTAAAATGTGTCTTGTCACATAAAGGCACTTACAAGACAGGTCAGTTTTACTCCTGTTATGATAACGTGAACTCCCATTAACTTGTGTTACAATCCCAGTTTTGATCTAGGAATAAATCTGGTGCAGTCTGTTGACTCTGAGCAATTTCAGAGCATCACAGAGCACAAACCCAACTAAACCTTCCAGCTCTGGAGAGAATGAAGACTATTCTGTCATAAACAATGCTTGGGCCCTACAGAAGTTTTGCAATACCTCATATCTTACCAATTCCCCAGCAAATGAAGGTTTAAAACATGAAATTCTTTAAAATTATGCATTAAAATGATGACAGTGCTGCTTTCCAAGCCACTTTACAAACGTTTCTATACTTAAAGGGATAGTGGAAAACATTAATTATTAAATTGCTTGCAGGATGAAACAGTTCAAATCTATTCAAAATGGGTTTAGTTTGTTTGTGTTCTGTCTGACTGAAGCACAGCAGCCCTGCAGGTTATGCAGATGTGCTGTGAAATCAGGGTGCTGTGCACTGTGACAGAAATATACCGCCTGGGGAAAGGTGTTTTAGAGCCAGGAGAGCATGCATGTGGTCTTCTGGTTTCTCTTTAGAACTGCAGAGGGAAAAAGAAAGGGAAGGTCCTTCTACCCTTTGCACTGCTGTTCAAGGGTTATGCAAATATATCCCTGTCCCATTCCCTCAAGTTGTTCGGGGGGTAAAAGGTGGCTGCTCTCGCAGTCTTCACTTTTCATTCTCTCTGTGTCTTGGGGGTTTAGCTCTGTAAGAATACGTATGTGAGCCTTACTGAAGAGATGCTCTGCTTTGGAATTTGTGGGAAATCTAGAGCTTCAGAGGAAGAGAAACTTCAAACCTGAATTATATCCAGTCACATCCTTTACTGTTGAAGCTTAGCAGCAATCACAGCCAGAGGACTATATAAATACCAAGCCATGTGATATCTTTACTTGCTTTGAGTTATGTTTTGACTACATTTCTTTCATGTAAACCACTTCATTTCTCCCCATTTGAATTGAATAGGTTAAAACATCCTAGTTCTGAAATTGTACATAAGCGTTGATGTCCTGTGAGTGACAGAACATTGTGTAGATCAAATCCTGTCTTAAAAAGGGAGTAAATGTCTGTAGTCTTTACAGAGTACATCACATGTCTGAACTGTCTGATGGGGCTTACCAGTTTTGTTCTTCTCTTGCAGGCAACATGCTGCTCGAAGTGTTCCTGCTTCTGGGTTCAGTCATCATCTACTTCTTATTTTACAAGAAGAAAGAAGAAACATTGCCCTTCAAAGAGGGATGGTGGGGCAAGGGACAAAAGCCTGATGCTGAAGAAGATACAACTATTCGACCATTTAAGGTGGAAACTACAGAAGAAGAGCTGAGTGTAAGCAAATCTTTATACTGGGGAGATGTAAGAAATGGCCAAATAAACGCAGAACTTGTTTGGAAGTAATTTTTAAGTTGAACCAATAGTTACATTAATGAGAATGAGCAGTGATGTGTGGGACCTGGGGAAGGGATTTGTCAGGACTTCCCAAGAAAGTTATGGACAGACAGATTTCACATATTGCTATGCAGTTTTACTCTCAGCTGGCTGTTTCAAGATTGCCAGGAGACAAGCCCACTCTATAAAGCCCAATAAACATAAAACTCATATTACAGATTACTCAGCTCTGTGTTTCTGTTTGTGCACCTCCCTCAGTTCGAGTGTAGATCAAAATATGAACAATATCTCTTCTTTTTTCCTTCAAAAGCAATTACAAACATTGCATTTCTTCCCTGCTTTATGTGTGCAGCTGTGTTGGATGCTGCTTCTTCTGTAATTAATGATCTACTTTGATCAACAGCAGTACCACAGTGGTAATTACAGTAAACACATACATTGCAGAATGTGTTAGACAGCAACATTTTGATTCTATGTGTTTAAGTTGGGGATTGCAGAATTTCATAGGTCTGTGTGGAGTTGTGGTTCAAACAGGACTCATTGGATTGCCCATATTATTCATTTATAATGGATTCTTATTCTCTCAGTAAGGCCTGAGACAGAACTTGTGTTTGCCCTTCTTAGTAGTATCAATGGGCATTAATCTCCAATATGTTTTCTCCTTATACTGCAGGCACAAAGCTGGATAATTTCTAATTTACAGATGGTTTTGAAACATGCAATTCTGTATTATGGCAGCTATTGCAACATAGTCCATTGGTAGAAAACTCTCTTCCTAAATGTATTCTTGCTTAAACCTGGAGTTGCAGTTACGCCAGCATATGTTACTGGCACATTTTTAAGAGGTATTATGCATGGACAGAAAGCACGTATGTAAAGACATGGTAAATACTTCATTTTAAAATCCATGCTTTCTGTACATGTTAAATGTCCAAACAGTGAGCTTCTCTACTAACATCTTGCCTAGGCTGATATTGCCTGTTCACTGTGAGTCATGCATACACCTAAGTCAGAGTCAGAGCTATCTCTATTGCTATATTAGAAAATGCTGTTCAGGTTTAAACCCCCCAGAGCCTTGAGTAGGATTAGATTTCCAGACCTGCCTTCCACCCTCAATTCTGTGGTTCTGTATGCAGTGGGAAGGGGCTCTTGGCTGTTCTTCCCTGCCAAGTGATTTTGGACTGTTGTGCAGTATCATCAGTATCCCCTGTAACCGTGAAGTGCAGTAGGAAGGTGATTTTCATAGTTATTCTAGATTGGGAAACTTTAATTCCAGTCTAGTTTCACCAGCTTTGTGGCCATGTAAAATCCCTCAGTGTTTCCCAGTGAAGACATCCATCCCCTTGGTTTGGGAAGGAAGACAAAAGGTTTGGGCCAGATCCATGCATCGATTGTGAGGTTGGGCTCACAAGTAACCTGGGGAACAGCACACCATGAAAAGGCATAAAGACTGAAACTGTGAAACCACTGTACTGTCAGATGAGTGCATTGTCCTCTGTGGTGACAGTGTTAAGAACACCTGTAAATGGAAGAGGAAGGAGGCCATCTGGAGGAGAAAAAGAACTGGAACAGCTGATGGAGCATCAGCAAAATGCACAGGTGTCATTAGAGATGTTATTTTCATTGTTCTTATTTCACTTGGAAATAACTAGAAACATTCATAGTAGAGCTAGAGCCTGAGATGGCACGCACAAGTGCTTGTAATGTCTCTTGTTTCTTTTTCCCCGTAGGACTTGTATAGGAGACTTGACCAGGCTCGATTCACTGAGCCACTGGAGGACAGTTGCTTCCATTATGGGTTTAACTCGGTGTACCTCAAGAAGGTTGTCTCCTACTGGAAAAACCAGTTCAATTGGAAGAAACAAGTTGAAGTCCTCAACAAGTACCCACAGTTCAAAACTAAGATTCAAGGTGCGTGGCTTTTTCCCTTTAAAAAACCCCAGTAGTATGTAACCTTGTCTGCAAGGGATCTTGGTGGTAAGAGCGCTGTGGTTGTGTCGTGTCGTGTGGGCCTTTCCTTTCTGGCTGCTGTAGCGTAGATTATTGGCATTGTTGCTGAAGCAGCAAGAAACTCCTTCATCACAAGCCTTTAGGACATGGAATGACAAATGGAATTCCCTTGTGAGTGGATGGGTTGTCAGCTGGTGTTAACAGGAGCCAAGCACAGGCATTTGGAAACAGAACCGGGATCTTAAGATGTACACATGTTCCCTGGCTTGCATGCAGTCATGCAAAGATCCCCACAGATGTCTCCTCTTGCTCCATGTAATTCCCCAGCTGCTGCTGTCACGGTGATGCCATCAGCCTGGCAGCCCTCCTCAGCTGGGCATGCTGCCTGCTCAGGTTGGCCCTGTTTGCAAGGCAGATGTGCTCTGCTGCACCATTTCAAGCATTCCTGTGCCCAGGAAGGCAGGATGTGCCTTTAGCTTCCTTGATGTGCTGCCAGGTGTCAGCGAATGGTTGTCCAAAGCACAGACACCTTTTGAAAGAGGCTGTTCAGCACAAGGGCTGCTTGTGCTGGAGCTTGGTCAAATTGGATGTTTCACATGCTTGAATGAAGGTTGTGCTTGGGTCATTTGGGGGTACAGGTGTCGATTTAGAGCACAGCAGGCAATTGTCTTGCATGATGGCAAAATTTAAGCTTAAGATTATGCTTATTATGTTTTCAGTTGCACCCATAATCGTATGTTATTTAATAATACTTAAAAATGATTTTGGATAATAAATGGTTGTTACATAGGGGTTAAAACATAAAGATTTTATTTAAAGTGGAAAAACCATCATGTGAGACAAGAAAGGGAAAAGAAGCAAAAGACAGTGCTCTATGTATAGCAATAGGATGGGAAATTTCAACACTAGGAATGATTACAGAGATGAGACATGAAAAGGCAAGATCAAACATGCTGCATAGCAGATTCCCAGCTTCTGTCATCACTTGAAAGTTCTTCAGAGACTACAGAAATCCACAGAGTTGTCAAAAATGGGGAAATCTGTCAGTGAAAGGGTGGGATTGCTGGTGAGCTGGAGCTCAGGAGAGCAAAATGTGCTTAAATACATCAAGAACTGAAGCATTCAGGCTCTAAGAGCAAATTACTGTTTCCTGGAAAGCAAAGCCCTGAATGGATCTGACGAAGAGCAGTTCACCTCAAGCAAGCTGTGTGAGACCTACTGGTTGTATTGTGACGACCACAAAGGAAATAGGTCTCCAATTTTTACCTTTTTACTTAACAATGAGGAGACTGGAACTAGAACACAGTTTCCTGTTTTGGTTTATACAAACAGACACTGAAAGCTTTGGCCAAAAGGTGGAGAAGAGCTACAGAATTGAATACTTTAACTGTCTTTCAGCATGGCGTTGTTTCAGATCCTTCATTCAGCAGGGCTGGTTTATCAAGCAGTTGTGTGACTTGATTACAGGAGGCCTCCACAGGCAGAGAATACTTGCTGAAGGCTTTTTACATTCCTTTTGCTGTAAAGCTCAGATCAATGGCTGGAGACAGAATCCAGACACATTTAAATGATGCACAAAACAAGGGAAGTGATTAAGATCCCAAACAAAGAGCAGCTGGTTATGATGGATTCTCTGTCTCTTGGTGCCTCCAAGTTGCAACTATAGGCAAGAAGTATAATCTGTGGTGGGCTGAAGCCTATCTGGTGGCATTCAGCAGCATTCGGGTAAAATTTAAGGGTGCTTGGACTAAATGATGTTATCACCTCCTCTGCCTTTAAGCTGTGTGAGTCACTGTTACCGTTAGGAAATTGCTTCACTTCTATGCCTTAATTTGCCAATTCATTTTTAAACAGAAAGATGCCGACCTCATTTGGCTGCCGTGGTGCTTAATTCCTCATTATAAAGTACTTTGAGGTCCTTGGTAAATGGATCCAGAGAAGCACGGTGTCTGGATACTCACCAAAAAAAAGGACTTCAGCGAAGATTTATTCGTGCTCTGTTCTGTGCTAAGTTTCAGTGTCATGGGAAATCTGGGCATGTTAACGACTTACTTTCTTTATACAGGCATTGATATCCATTTTGTTCATGTGAAGCCTCCTCGCCTGCCTGAAGGCCAGTCTGCAAAGCCACTGTTAATGGTTCATGGCTGGCCTGGCTCGTTCTATGAGTTTTACAAAATCATCCCTCTCCTGACGGATCCTGCCAGCCACGGCCTCAGTGACGAACACGTTTTTGAAGTCATCTGTCCATCTATCCCTGGTTATGGTTTCTCAGAAGCACCCCACAAAAAAGGTATGATCTGTGAGAAGAAACTGAGCATAAGCCTAGTCTCACAGTGAGATAAACCCCATTAGCAGAACAGTAACTCCTGGCACTCGTTTTTTTCCCAGTCTAGAAACAAAGATCCTGTGTGCCCTGTGGGAAGAGGGAGATAAAGAGTGTGATGTCAGGTGACATCATTAGTTTCAGGAGCACTGTATAGATAATTTACAAAGGACTATAAAAAGTTATGAAGTGACAACTCATGAATTGAAATGGAGTCAATGAACTGTGGGGGGGTGAGCAGGAAGAGTAAATTTAATTTGTTACTGTTCCTCTTGGGTGTTTCAAATGCATATTCAACAGCATTATACAGGTAGGTGAGAAGCAAGGCTTGAAACAAATCAATTCATGTAGTTGCATGGTAGGTTGCAGCCAAATGCCTGCTTGTTCAGCTTGTGCTCTGGTTTATACAAACATAAGCTGCAGCTAATTGGAGCAAGGTAGTATTTAAAGTGAAACTGAGGTTAGTATTGCATTATGTGTGCAGGTGAATGATGTGGGGAAGGCTGGTTTACTCTGCTTCCTTGGTTATGATTTATACAGTCACCATTTAGTGGAGAAGTGCATTACTTGTGGCAACTTCAAGCTTTTGATCGTTAAGATGAGACTCTGCTTGCTGTACATAAAATGGGAACACATTCTCTGGGCAATGCTCACTGACAGGGCTCCGCCGGAGTATGATTACAGCTTAACTCTAGGAACCCCTTGGCGTGGCAGTTGGTGGGGTTAGGAGAACACCAGTCTGTGACAAAGGCCTTGTGGTTTCTGCTTGCTCCCTAGACCTTGCTGTTAGGCAGGCAAGGAAAACCAGACTTTGAACTTAAACTTTGCCTATATGCGGAGAATAAATGCTGCACAGGCAGAAGCACAGCTGGAATTACTGCAACAGTTTTGTTTGTTTTTAACAGACTTCAATTCTGTAAGTGCTGCTTCTGTTTTCTATGAACTGATGCTCAGACTGGGATTCAACGAGTTCTACACACAAGGAGGTGACTGGGGCTGGCTCATCTGCACCAATCTGGCCCAGATAGCTCCCAAGTGAGTATCCTGCTGGTGCAGTGCTGCACGATTGACATGCAGAGCTGCTTTATTCTTTGAATAGCTACTTCTTGTGCACTTGAGAGCTCCTGTCCAAGTCCTCATCTGTAGTTTCCATCTTCACTGCTCAGACTTAAGCAGTGATCCAAAATCATGTACCTTACTTTACATTGTATACCTGTTCTTTCAACCAGTAGTGCAGTAGTTTTGCAATGGCCCCACTGGATCTGGAGTGGGGTAAGTACTTGTAATAGAAGGAGGATTTGTGGCTTAGTGCGCAGGACTGTGCGCTGATTAGTGACAGCTGTCCCTTTGACTTGTCATTTTGGGGTGAAAAGCCACATTGCAAAGTACAGACAAGGACATGGTGTAATCAGCAGGTTGGAATTTAAGTACCTGTTAAGTGTCAGTTTTTGGTAATAACATTTTAAATATAACAACTTTGAATCGCATTTTACTTCTGTTAATTTATGGGGACTTTTTCTGCTTTTCTTTTCAGCCATGTGAAAGGTCTCCATTTAAATCTCGCCTCAGTTTCCAACATGGGGTTCACTCACCTGCTCTCTATCCTGCTGGGCCGCTATCTTCCAGGGCTCTTTGGGTTCCAGGATGAAGATGTCAGGCGGATGTTTCCCTACTTAAAGAAAGTCGTCTACAAGATCTTGATGGAGTCTGGCTACGCTCACATACAGGCTACGAAGCCTGATACTGTTGGTAAGAGAAAAACCCCATTTGAGTTCAGAGTGTTTAGTCTGGTCATTTAATAGAAACCAAACATAGTGCTTGAACTATGCAGGAAATCAGGTTTTGTCAGGGAAGCTGAAGTAGGAGGTTTGAGGGTTTAAAAGGCAGGCTCCTTTTCTGTATCCAAGTCAGAGAAGGTTGCATGGGGGTATATGGCCATTACACTTGCTTCTGAATGCAGAAGCGAGTAAATCTGCACCACAGAACTGAGCATGCTCTAAGTGCCACTGACCTCATTTTCAGTTTTCATTAATAAAACAGTTTATTTAATACTTTTCCACTTCTGCTATCACTGGGGACTGTAATTCTAGTTCAGACGCAGCTATGCTGAGAGCAAAAGATACTTCACAGAGAATGGATGACATTCAAGTGATCCATTGTAATATTTGATTTCATATCATTATGATGGGGCCCACAAGGATGCAAGACAGGGACTCTTCATCAGGGGCTGTAGTGACAGGACAAGGGGTGATGGGTTCAAACTGAAACAGGGAAAGTTCAGGTTAGATACAAGGAAGAAGTTCTTTACTATGAGGGTGGTGAGGCACTGGCACAGGCTGCCCAAAGAAGTGGTGAATGCTCCATCCCTGGCAGTGCTCAAGGCCAGGTTGGACAGAGCCTTGGGTGACATGGTCTAGAGTGAGGCATCCCTGCCCATGGCAGGGGTTTGGAACTGGATGATCTCAAGGTCCTTTCCAACCCAAACCAGTCTATGTAAACTTCAAGAATCTTTAGCTTTTTAGCTGTCTCAGCACACAATGTAGCTTTTTTATAGGGATAAGTGATACCTGAAAAGTAGAATCAAATTTAATTTTCACTCAATCACTTGCAGACTTTCAAGGAAAAAAAGATGTACCTATGAATGTGCTACCTAGATAAGCTAATCACTCAGATTGCCTAACTGCTGAAGTATCTGGAGTTTTAAGTGCTTCTATTTTAAGAACATCCTTTGCAATTGAACATACTGAATATATTTTAATTTAGTACAGCAGCAATTTGTTTGTGGATTTTATTAAGAACATTGCTAAGGAAAATATTTCTTAATGTTTTTCTATAGCTTACTTGCAGAAACTCGTATGTTCTTAAAATGTGTAGGCAAAATGGGAATTTTATTGATTTTAAGTAATTTAGCTTGAGTTTTGTATTCTAAAAGTTACTGGTCTCTAATTGTGTTTGTGCTTTAAGAAAAGATGGGAAGCTGGTAGCTGGACAGTGCCAAGCCATGTGCCTTCTGCTGTGGTTTCCCATTTGACTCTTGTCCCTACCAGTAATATGTGGTCTGTCAGAGTGACTGAGAACCAAGAGCTAGCTCATGTTTTGGGAGCTGGAGCATTCCTGCAGTTCTGAGGACAAAGAGGAGAGGAGCATGGCAGGTGGCAGGTTCCCATAGGGAGAAAAACACTCTGAAGAAAGCAACATAAGGTGGCTTGAAGAAGCACGGCCATGGAGGCTACCAGTCAGGAAGACTTCTGGTAGTACAGGGCTACCTTGCAAGCTGCTCTAGGCAAGGAAGTTGTCTCTGGCTGTTGACATAGCCAGATACAGATATACACAGTGTGTGTGTGTATTACACACACACACTGTGCTTCCCAATACTAAATTGCCTCAGAGCTGGCTTTTCATCAAACTGTCTTGCATGGATTTGATTTTACACATACTGTTTGGGAAACCTTCATGGAGCATGGATTTGTTTTCAAGTGGCTGGAATAGGCAGTGCCTGTATTCCAAGTATTGTTAGGATCAATGTCAATTTTCCCTCTGTATAAACAGATGTACCCTTCTTTGTTCACAATGTGTGTACGAGAACAGGCTATTGCTTGTCTAACAGGTCAGTACGACTTTTCCAAACACTTGGCATTTCAGTTATCAGTATTAGTTGTTTGATAACTGAAACTCAACTATCATGTTTAAATAGCAGTTCCTGCTGAAACTGTGCTAGCTGTAGCACTAGGCCTCTTTCAGGAAGGTTGGGTTGCATGGGTGGAACTTCAAATATATTGCTGCTCCTTGGGCAAAGCTTTTTCTAAGGCTTTTTGTAGCAGCTGAGACAGTTTATGGTCCCTGTATTTCACAGCACAACGATTAGCAAAGTTCCAGGTGCAGATGTGTGTTTTCTGTCCAAGCAAAACAAACTATAAAAAGTATATTAAGCCTTGTTATATGTGAAGGCAGTTGGCGGTTGTTAATTCAGAAGATGGACCTTTTAGTAAAGCTTTGCTCTTCCTTAATGACTTTCTAATAATCCTTAAATGGTTTCGCTGTTAGATAATGTTGCATATTCTCCCTGTCATGTGTAGGCATGTGGGGTTTGGCCCTGTAATGCTGTTTAATACATGACAACTTCCAGATTAATGGAAGCAAACCCTGCTTGGCACACAGTCCTTAATCGTATTAGCTTACAAAGGGTGGGGAGGAAAAAAGCCAGCAGAAATCCAATGCTGTTACATCAGTTCGAAAAACATATGGTGTGAGCTAATGTGGAGCCCGTTGGTTTGCAGATACTATCAGTTTATGAATCAATAATAAATAGCTCCAACTTGTTCTACTGTATGTATTTAGGAATACAGCTGCTGGAACAGCTTTGTAAAGTTATCTACCCTGTGTTATAGCTCCTGTAACAGTCTGAGTTCAGCAGTAAGGTATCACAATCCTAGTGAACTTTTCCTCCTTTCAGGCTGTGGTTTGAATGACTCTCCTGTAGGACTGGCTGCGTACATCTTGGAGAAGTTTTCTACAGGGACTGATCCAGAATTCTGTAGTTTAGAGGATGGAGGACTAGAGAGGTAAGCTGTTCCTCCTACCCCACTCTGGACAAGGTGATAAGAGTTGTAGCCAAGAAGGTTTGTCTGAGTCGATCACCTCCCATCTCACAGGGAGCCTGTAGAGACCACAAGAGGTGCAGTGCTGTGCCACAGCATGCAGAAAAGCAAACAGGCAATGAAGGTTGAGGTACTCCCTTCCCATTTTGATCTCCTAGGAGAGAGATCTGCAGCTTCTGGGTATTGAAAACTGACCTAGGTGGAAGAATCTCATTAGGACAGAAAAACAGAATTTCAGTTCTACATTAAGAGGCTGGGAAACAGAACCTATGACTCCTTTTAATACTAAGAGTTAACACTCCATGAATTTGCTTTAGATTCATTCATAGTGGCTTCATCTACCTACTGGTTGCTAATAAAGGATCATTCCTGATGTGCAAGAGATGACTTTGAAGATTGCTGGGTACCTGACAGTAATGGAGTAAAGGGGCACATTATGAAAAGGACCAGTGACCTATTCAATGGATTTGAATAGAAAGTTTGCACTGCATACAGCTAATTTGATATGAAACACACTGCTTACAGTACATGTTGTGATGGCTCTACTGAAGGCTCACGGTAACATTCCACACTATGAATAGTAAATGGCACAAGCTGTTCCATGTGCTTGTCTGCTCCTACTCTCCCAGTGTATGGACAGTACAGTGCTTGTTCTGAGTCTGCCTTCCATATAGGAGTTAAGATGTCACTTCCCAGTTTGTGTCTGAAGGCCTTTAACGTGCCTGAATGTTAACATGTCAGTGACAGGCAGAGGGGAAGCAGCTTCACCTCTCAACTCTCTTCTTAACCAAGTTAACTATTTTTTCCTGAAGCTTTTTTTCTTGCAACTAAACCAAAGTCAAGTTCCTTTACAGTACTGGTATTCAGTTCTAACTAAGCAATCTCTGGGTTTACCTATTCAGGAAGTTTAACCTGGATGATCTGCTCACCAATATCATGATCTACTGGGTGTCAGGCTGTATAGTGTCCTCCATGCGTTTCTACAAAGAAAATCTGCAGAAGGGGATAGGTACCCAGAAACATGAAAGGTAAGTGTTCTGGCTGCACACAGGTTGCTTATGCCTTATGGCTGCTGCAAGTTTCTGTATGCTGAGGAAAAGCACTGCTGTATCACAGTGTTCCCCTGCAGGACAGGTTGTCAGTTATACCATGTTGTGTTTGGAAAACACAATAGTTAGGTAAGAATCCTGAACCATCAGGAAGGAGATGTGATTGGAGGCCTTGCTTGAAGACCTCCCATTCTTGGTGTATCCAACTGGTGAAGAGTGCCTGCGACTGAGGCACAGAGTTTTGTTTATAGCTTATCTTTATGGTAGTTCTAGGACTTTTCTGGATGCAGTTTGCCTGTTTCTGCAAAAGATTTAAGTCCTCTGGAAGCAACTTCAGCCTACTGACAAACTCCACAATTTGGAAGTCACTAAGACTGATGTTCCTGCTGTGCAGACACTTAAAACAGGAGCTTGGTTGCTTATACTTGTGTCAGCTTGAGTATTAGTGAAGGCTTAAATCTGCCCTGAGGTATTTGCAACCACAGCTCAGTGATGTGATATTTAGCTGTGAAATGATGCTCCCAGGAAGGTGACTTGGTTCTTGTAGCAAGTACACAGTGAGCGGTATCTTGTTCCGGTCCTGCCAACATGAGATGAGCTGTATGAACTTCTGTGTGCCCAGAGGAGAGTCTCGAAGACCTATGTAAAATCAGGCACCCTGTTTTCAGGCTTCCAGTGGTTATGTGACCAACAATTCTTTTATCTGAATTTTAAAATCTGTCTCCTCTGACAGTGCAGCTTAAGTGTATGTACGGGATATTTAAATCTAGGAATGTTGTTCTGTTTGTAACAAGCAGGGATCATTCCAATTTCTAAGATACTTTTCTCCTCAAATCCAGCTGCTTTCCATCACTTAATTAACATGCAAAATGTTGTGTAGAGTGCCTTCTTGCTAGTTAAAAGCAAGAGCTACTTTACAGGGTGAAGTCTCTCATTCAGAAATGTTTCCTCTGAACCAGTCTTGATTTACTATTATTCCTCCCCTCTCCTTTCCCTTTGCAGCAGTTCAAGGTAACTCTTCCCCTTCCTGCCCTGCGGTTATCAACATGTACTAGTTGTAACCTTCACTGTAAATACCTCTCCCTTCAAATTGTGTGCTTTCCCCTCAATACATGACTCTTGAGCCCTGAATGGAGCATGTGGAAACTTGATCCTCCCCCTCGTCCCGGGGTTCTCTTCTCCATTCCCATGCTTTTAACTCCCATGCCCTGGGACTCTTGCAAAATGGCTTTAATATCAATGTATGGATTTTCATTTGTTTCCCCAGGGAGTGTTGTCTTCAAATGTAGGATGCAGACATCAAATTTTGATTACCTAACAGCAGTGTGCCCAACTGTTTTAAGAACAACACTTCCTTATGACTTTCCATTTCTTGCAGGGTTAAGTGTTTCAAAGATCAATTCTCTCTCCTCTCTCAGGCTCACAGTACAAGTACCTACTGGCATTGCCTCCTTCCCTAATGAAATCATACACATACCCCAGGCTTGGGCCCAGAAGAAATACACCAACATCATTTCCTTCCATTTCATGACTCGAGGTGGCCACTTTGCAGCTTTGGAGGAACCTGAACTTCTTGCTGAAGATATTCTGCAATTTGTTGGGAAAGTAGAGAAAGAGCAACTTTGGAGAAAGAAAGAATAACTCCGCTGACAAACAGCAGGGTAACTGCTTATAGCTTAGCATGAGTACAAGCCTTACTAAGTACTGTAATCCATGCAGTTACATCTTATTCTTGACCAGACGTGAGAGGACAGCAAGAACAATGCAGTGTACCTCAATGAGATACTGCCATGGAGACCTATTGATTGTGGGTTGGGTCTCTTTGTTGAGCTGCACTGAGACAGTAGCATGAAGATCACTTGGTTATCTTCTCCCCCAAGCAGACTTCTAAAATCTGTAGTTCTGTAGTATTACTGACCCTTGCTCTGAAATTGAAAAATAGACCTTAAACATCACAATTAACTAATCAGGGTTTATTAGAGGCTTCTTTTCATGGCAGCAGTAAAACTTGAGTTGGTGCAGGTGTGAGGTTCCTCACACAAAGAATGGGAACAGCAAGACCTAACTTGTGTAAGTGCAGGGGTTAGTCAGCATCGATGATCTGCAGCACCCTTACACTAGCCAGCTGGCTAGTGCTGGCTGCCCTTCCCATCCAGCCTGGGCTGCTGGGCAGCTTCCTGGCTGGGAGGAAGCTCTGCTCCCCTCTGCGTGGCTCCTGGTACAGCACTCAGACCAGAGGGAGGGACTGGGTTTGAGGAAGTGTAGCCCAAGATCCCTCTGCACTGAATTTGTACTCTTGACCAAAATCATGGCCCTGGACAGGCTCAACACACTGTGGCTTTGCACTGCTGCTGCAGGGGATTGTAAACACCTCTTCCTAAAGAATAAAAGTGTGATTAAGTAAAAATAAAAAACCTGCATTAACATTTTGAATAATACCTGTATGCTTCTTTTAGATGTTGTAATAGCTGAGACTTTGCTTGGTGACAGCCGAGAAGCACCCGTTCAGACCCTCTGTACTGCATCTGTTACAAAGGTCAGATTGAAGGCAAACTGCTCAAAGAAAATTGTATTTGAAGGGCTGCATGTTTTTGCCAGCAACAGTCCCTAGTGTAAGCAGTTGAGCTTCAAACACTCTCAGACTCTATCCAGATGACTGATTTCAGTATGGTTTTGTTCTCCATTCGCTGCTGACATACTTCCCTACCCCTGCAAGCACAGGGAAATCTAATCCACCACAAACACTTGCACGGATTAGTATCATTTCACAATATTAATTGAAATGGAAGCTGTTAAGTAAGAGTCACTCCACCAGAGCCCTGCTCCATCCCACAGGGCTTTATGCTCAAGAATACCACGTGGCTTGTTTCACAGAAGGCAAGTCAATGTTCCTGCTGGCATGTTTGAATCTTGGTGCTAAAAGCCACCTGATGCCCCACGATAGAAAATAATTTGGGCAGATGGGTGGCAACCCAGCCCAGATCAGTTTCCGAGCAGAGCCTGGGACCTCCAGCCCCCTTTCCTCTCTGCCTCCTGTGCTTCAGCCCCATGGCACCAGCAAAGGAAGACACAGCAGCTTCTGCCACCTCAGCCCTTCAAGCTGTACTCGAGTTCTGTAGGACAGCTAACTGCTTCCACATTAGCAGTGAGCACTAATTCCACGTTTACTTCTAAATGCTTTCATTAGTCACAATTTGTGTTCTCATTTGCAAAATACTGTGTGGTGCAGACAGGAATAAAATACATAATGATTCACTTCATCTAAAACAGGCTCTTCTCAGAGAAAACCATCCCCACACTTGTTTTAGGTGCAGTATGGTGGAAACACTGCTTATTCAACAGGAATCAGCTCACCTCTGACAACAGCAGCTGTTAACAGGCACCAACCACTCTGCTCATTCTTGTACCAGTCTGATCTCTGGCCCCTTGCTTTTGCCTTATTTCTGTCCCTGGTGTGGCCTTATGTTTGAGAGCTAGAGCTCATCCTCTCTCATCATCAGTACACAGGCGGACACCTGCTGTGGTGCTGGGGAACACTGCCATACAGCGACAGAACCTAGCACGGTCACAGGGACTGCTCCATCACAGCACAGATCGAGTTGGGGGAAGACAGTTTGCTACATTATCTGTGCCAAACCGGTTTTTGAGATGTCAGGAGAAGGTTTGAAGCATTTTCCCCCTCCCTTCCGGAGCAGATCTGCTTGAAGGGGCCCAGCCTCAATGAAAGGAGGAACATCAGGGCTCTGTTTTGTGACGTTACATTACAGCAGCTCATCGAGGCTCAGGCACCAGTGAGACTGGACAGAACACAACCACCTTTCTATTTTTAAATACACCTGTCCGCACTCAGCAATCCAAGACAATGATAATGAACAGAGGCTGTAAAGGAGCACATCCTCACCCTGCTCTGCACGCCAGGTCAGCACCCTTCAGCGTACCACAAACATGAGCTGTCCGCATTGTCAGTTCTACTGAGGATGAAAGATAGGCACTGAGGCAGGAAACCCAGCACAAACATGGGTTTGATCAGCTGCTGTCTGAAAGAGACAGAAAAAATCTGGACCTAGAAGCTTAAAAATTATAATGAGACACCTGTTGGACAGCAGAGGTTATTCTCATGTCACACTTCTCAAACCTTAAGCCCAAGCGAACAGCAGCTGTTATACAGCACCTACTTATCTACACTTAAAGACATAAGGATTGAGTGAAATGCTATGACAATGTGAAAGAGCATAAAACTGGCCATGGGTCAGCTGTGAAATCTGCTGTCAATTCCCTTCCCCTTGTTCAAAGTAATCACCTGCTTTTAGCAAAAGGCACCCAATCCCACTGCCCGCAGTTCAAGCCTTAGTGCTAATGAAGTGTTTGCAGGCTAACCATGGCATCCACATCTCCTCCTGCAAGCAGCAACTCCCCCATGAGCCCAAGATTTGGACTGATAGCCATCCTGAGTGAATCCAGACTCGCTTCTGATACACTCCAGCACTTGGAGCACGTCCAAACTGTTAGCTACAGTACTACCACGAGCAGTGCAGAAGTCAGATCATCAGAAATTTTGACCCTTTCTGTTAGCAAGTAAGTGTGTATCAGATTACTGCAGTAGTAATCAGCAGGAAGAAGGGACTCTGCTCCATTCTACTTGTTCTTACCAAAGTGAGCCATCCAAGTACCTGCCATTCAGACAGCAAGTCTCCTCTAACAAGGCCAGATGCACTGCTGTTGAGCTGGCTGAGCTGCTCCTTTGGAATAGTAGCTTCAGCCTTCAGGAGAATGCGGTGGTGTTTTGATGCTCAAAGCATTTTGTTTTGCCCCAGAACCATTTCATGGTGAAGTCTATTTCCAGACCAAAGCTGCCCCAAAGTCTCTGCTCAAAGAGACTGCTCTCCTAGAAGCTGCTCTTCCTTAAGTTGCTCCAAAACATGCATTTATCCCACACCAGAATCAGAAGTAGCTGACCTAAATCCTGCTTTGTAATTAGACAGTTACAGCCCATGAGGAGGCTGAATAAGCAGTTCAGAACCATGGAGATGCCACTGGAAATAAACAGAACTTATACTCTGCTCCCTTCCTTCCTCCTCCTGTCCTCCCTGGCCTTCCCAACTGAAGTACTTGGGTAAGTATCTGTTTCTGGTATGGAAGAACACTAGTAAGGTCATCATCATCTCATAAAGCCCAGCTAAAATGAATTTGACTTCTGATTTTTAAACTACAAGTCTGTGAAATCCAAGCTGTTCTCCATAGCCCTTGGACATCTTGTACAACCAAACGACAAGACTTTATGTACATGAAACAAAATAGTCAGGCATTACTCAGATTATGAATGAAAAAATATGACTAGGAATCACACTTTCATATGAAAAAGGAAGTTAAGCCATCATTCAGTGAAAAATAGAATCTGTTAAGTATAGAGTTAGATCTAGATGTGTAAGGGCACCACTCATCACCACTGAGTCAGCTGGAACTGCTTGGGGGCAGGAGCTGATACATGTTCTGTTTTACAGCAGGTGCAATACATAATATGCATTAGATGAAGATACATTTTTGTCTGAATGAGGAATGGAAGGAGCCTTCTGGATACAGTGGGAAGAGACAAGGAATAAATCCATATTGATTTCAGGGTAGCTTATTTTAACACACTGAGAAATGATGCCACTTGTTTTACTTGCTGTAATAGCACTTTAAGTAACATAACTCACACTAAAACCGTCTTGCTTAGGATTAGTTTTCTTTCATGAAAGAAATACCCTGTGCAGTGCCAGACAGCCCTGATGGTGTTATGGCAATGCTGCTAGAAGAATTAGCCCCATTACAATTGTCAGTTGTCTTCTGGAGAGCAGTATTTATGAACAGATCTGTACTGAGTGACAGCTCTTTCCCCTTGCTAGATGTAGTCCAAACGTCAGTCTTCAAAATACCTTCCTGATTGGATTCGAAGACATTAAGGATGCTCAAGCTCTGCCTGTGTTTAATAACTGAATGTCTGCAGTTCTGAGGATAGGATGAACGATAAATGAAATTTAAGTGATGACTTTCCAGCTTCTTAAATGGAAGATAATCCCCTTTGTAACAATGGTTCAAACCACTGCAGATGATCAGCGCAGAGAGAGTACAGCGCAGAGAAAAGAACAGAAACACAGAAAGACAAAACTAATCTCAACCACCAATAAAAGATACCAACACAACAAACTGAATTGTGTGTGAAGACTGACTCGACAACTGTTTTAACAGCACAAAAGAGGTGCAAGGAGGAAAACCGATGGCGCCACCTTGCCTGTGCTGCTCATCAAGGGGCCCAGCACCCTGTTTGCAAAGCCTTCTGCCCCTTGCTCCATCTGCTCTGGGCCCAAGGAGGGCCAGGCCCTGAAGGTGAAAAGAGGATCTGCACCCTCTGCTCCGAGGTTCCTCTCAGTCCCTGACTTACCCCCCACTGGTATCCACATCCAATGCAAAACCGGCTTGTGCCTGTCCTGCTGATAGGGGCTTCCTGGTAAATACCCATCCTTCCTTCCTAACACAGCCCACCGACTGTTGCTTCATTCCTAGTTATCCACTACACAGTAGCATGTGGGTATGTCCCACCCCAAGGACTTCAGGTAAGTGACAGATGTCACTATCTTCCTCTGTAGAGAGGAACATCTTAACCCAGCCAACATTCTTCCCACTGTCTGTATGGCATCCCTTGCTCTGTGTGATTTCCTGAGCTCCAACTGAGCCCAAGCAGTCCCACTCTCTTTGGGACTACAGCCATGCTCCTTTGTAGGATCTCACCTCTGCTCAGAGTGCGCCTACTAACCTTTCAGCTTCCCCACATGGAGGGAAGTGTTAAGAGCAGCTTTATTTCCCAGCAGCTCTTAAAACTCTTTTGCAACCACGCCTGCATTGTTGGGGTGGGTTTGTACGTAAATACACTTGTATCTCCAGTTCTAGAAATCCTGGTACAGCCTCAAGGGAACTAAGGATGCTACAATTCTCTCAACTTCACCACTGTGTCTTTTCCCTTTCGAGGATAAGTAACAGAAATAATTGTTTAAATGATTCCTGTTAGAAATGCACAACTGATTTATTCCTCAATTTTTGCCCTTCCCAACAGATTCTGAATTCTGGTCACAGAAGGGAATAAATTCTTCCTATTTTAGGATCAATTTTGAAGTTACAGATGTCAAATAAAAAGGAGTAAGAAGAAAACCCTACTCCATTCTATAAAGCTAGAACCCTGTCATAAAAAGAATTCAATGCCTGCAACCAAATTATGGTACTTAGCAATTCTTCATATTATTTCCTTCTCCATTTCCCTCTGTGGAGAGAGCTGCTGGTTTTATTTCTCTGTGTCTATAGACAGAGGGGAAAAATACTGATAATAATACTTAGGGAAAAATTATATAGAATTCAAACTAAGTTTTGACATGGAACATCTTCAACTGAAAGAAGCAACTTGATGCTTTCCATTTCAGGAGAGCAGGCTGTAATAAAGCTAATTGATCTGAAAAGCCATGTATAAAACACCACTAAATGTATGAAAGATTCATGCAGAAGGGAGGCGAGCTGTGTACAAAAATACATCTCTCTCTCATTCCCTCTGCTCTTAGTCTTCCTGCAATGCAGCTCTTTTTATGTTAATAAACAGCTAAGAAGCACAGCAGAGAGATGCCTTTCAAAAACAGTCACTAATTTCCATCACAAACCTTCACCCTTTTGCAGTACTACATGAAAACTGGAGGTTCACAACCACACAGCACTAATGGTAAGAGACAGCAACAAGTTCTGGCTCTTGTTTTATTGATATCCACATGTGATATGTGGACATATCACACATTAGAGTTCTAGAACTCTTATTTCAAACATCACTTTTGATAAGTGTCTTCATTAACTATTAACCAGCATTTAACTAACCACTAAATATAGCAGCAGATATGGAAATTCACCCTCTCTTCTTGGCTATTTCTGGTCCCACCCATTCCCACCTGAATATCATGCACAGACCTGGTACAGAGCATTCAAGGACATCAGACCTTCCCACCAGATCTTCCTGTGACACTCTGGAAGATGAAGTGTTTAAAGGCCCTAAAATGACACTATCATATCCGTATTATACTATATGTACCATGTTATCTCTCACATCTCAGGGGAATGATAAAATGGAATGAAGCTCTAGACTGCTGAAGACCACAAACATTGTACCAGTAGACATTTCCAAACTAGAACTTGAGTGGAAAGGGAACTCCATCCAGAAATGAAGCTGGAGACTTATTTAGTTTAAGTTAGTGAAATTCTTACTTAACACACAGAATATTACTTTCCACTATCCACAAACACTGGTCTTGAGGTGGGAGTTTCAGTCCTTTCAAAAGGGAGAAGATCAGATGCATGTTACACTGGAACTTACCTAGGAAGGCAGAGAACAAATCCTCCTCTAGGAAAGCAACAACATTTGCTTTCAATCAGGAGTTCAGAGTCCCCCAGTAATGGGAACTGCTGGCTCCTGGTTGGAAGACATCAGTAATAGAGGCACGCTGAGCAGGGAGAAGCACCTTCGTATGCTACAGCAGTCAATTCATGGGACCACATTTGTGGAACAGAAAGGTACTTACGGTACATGGAACAAAGACAGCTGATCTTGATACCCTTTCTCTCCAAGCAACAAATGCTTACAGACTGCTGACAAAGAACAAGTGAAGATAACCCAGCTCTGCGTCTGACCACAAAACAGTTGGGAAGCTGCACTTGCTGCAGCTGAGATGCTATGGCCTAACCAACAGAACATCAGAAACAAAGCAAGAGCCAGGAATTAACCCAAGAACCAAAAAATTAAAGGGAAGAATGTTCTGTTATAGTGACCCAGTCTCCAGTCTCCATTTCGTGATTTCCTTTGTTTTGATCTGTCAGACAGCTGTCCTCAGAAAGAAAGAACAACTTCTGAACCTCTGAACTGTCTGAAACAGGCACTCACAGCTGTTACAGACAGGTGACATGCAGAACCATTCGAGATGACTTGTCTAGATTAGAGAGAGAAGGAATTTGCAAGACCACTTTAAGAAGTTAAGCCATGTCCTCTTTGAAAGTTATGACCCTGCCCATCATTTGAATTTAAAAGTGTGTGTTTCCTTGTATTTTTTGCAGTTTAGAGCAATAAAGTGTGTCTTTCCTCTGTACTTGATGGACTTCTGCTTACGAGACCCCTCCTCCTGAACTCTTCCTGTGCCTCTCACCTCACTTTTGCTAAGAGCCAGGAAAAGAGCTCTGTGGTCCCCTGCTTCTAGCACAATCCCACCTTCTTCAGAAACACCCAAGGCTTCAAATGCTAATAAATGGACTATCTGTGGATCATACATGAGGAAGCTTCTAGTTGTGCTGCCAGGATGTATGAATAAGCAGAGTTTGGGACTGTATTTCTGTAAAGAGGCAGAAAGAACATGGTCAAATGCTGTGCTGAAGCATTTAAAACCTTAGCCAGCACAGAGATCTACTTTTGGCTCAGAGCATGGGAAAAGCCCAAAGGAAAACAGAGCATGAACGTGTGCACCTAATGCAAACGAGAAACTGCAATCATCTGGGTGCTGAGGATGTAATAGGGCTAGAGGTGAACCAGACTGGGCATGCATATAGAATAAGCTCTAACTAGCACAGAGCTGGATGTATCCAAACAAGCCGAAGGTTATTTTGGGTCTCAGCATACAGTATAGCACTCTCTTCACTATAGAAGAAAATCAGCTAGAGTGAAGCCTTTGCAGAGTGTACCAAAATGTACAATATCAAATGAATTCTGTCCTTCACCTTTTCAGAGCTGGCCCTTCAGTTGTGTCACAGAGAACCCCACCACAGACCACAGAGTAGGGCTTACTTGTGCTTGTCCAGATTCCCATTCCACAGGAGCACTGCTGGTGGAGGCTGCCAGAACACAAGTAAGGCCTGAGCAAGGAGTGAAATGGGGGGGAGTTGTTCCAACTGAGCAATGCAAGGCAAGCAGCAGGCACTGCATCTCAACAAATATGGCTTCTGGGAGCTACAATCAGTAACTCCAGCTGGGCCATTTGCTCAGGCTTCCTGCCAGAAGATTTATAAAAAGAACAGTAAAGAATGTGCAATAGCTTTAAGTATGAATGTCAAATACAGCACAGCCAATATCCACATTCGTTAAGGCTTCCATCCCTCAGCTTTTCTGTAAGGCTCAGTAAGGAATGCAAGGAGTTTCTCCTGCTGATCTAATTTTATCCTCTCGGAGACATCCACCAGCACCGAAGGAATGAACTAGAGCCAGTGCAGTTCCTAATTACTTCCATGTCTCAGAGAAACCCAAAAGATAGCAGGGCAGCAAGCACAACATAGCAAAGCTGATAAACCAGCCTCTAATTTGTGTGCTGCTATACATGGAGATCTTGTGATAATTCACTAATAGGTGATTCTAGCCTTTACTCTAGTGCATGTCCAAGTACCACAGACATTTCTATACACTAACTGCAATAAAGAACAGTGGCAGATGAGAATGGCTTGTTCACTTGTACATGACAAGTGAAATATACAGGTGGTTTCTCCATCAGGCACATGGACTGGTTCCTCAAATACCACCAGTGACTATTTAGCAAGCACCTGAAGCATGCACCTGAAGCATGTTAGCATGACTTCCCAGGGTACAAACCACCTCTAGTCATACCATGATCAATAAATCCCCCCCAACATTCAGGGTACAAACCCCCTCTAATGATACCACAATTGCTGAAATCAAAACACATGCAACCCCCTGACTAACCTGCCACACTGAAGTGATAACATAAAGAAGCTGACATAAATCCATGCCCCCCCACAAACAGACAAGGCCTTTTAAGCAGCATGTGTACCTTCCACTAACAGGATGGGCTTCTCAGCAGGGTTTTGAAGCTCTGCAAGGTCTTTCTTGCAGCAGGGCAGATCTCCTGCTCAGCATTCGTCCAGGGTGCTGGTCTCAGGGAGCTGGAGGCAGTCCTGCAAGACACTGAACATCTGCACACACTTATTTATGGCACAGGTTCTACTCCCATCTCAAGATGTTGCTGCTTTACAGACATGCTAGAAAAGGTCAAGTTCGGGAACTAAGGGCTTCACAATGAGCGGGCAATGAGAGGGCTTGGGGGACGACGACAAAACCTTCTCCTACCCAAGGGTCACCAAGATGCATCCCCAAGAGAAACTTAAAAGGATTCAAATCTCTCATGGGGGACACTGTCATTCTGAGCCTTATGACAGTGCCCTTATGAACAGTTCATGACACAGCACACTGTGAGGCAGGCAGCAGCAGAACTGTTTCAATACACAAAGAAGACATAAATTTCAGCCTGAAATTCCTCTGAACTCAGTGTTTTATTGCTTCAGGATTATTAGTTGCACTTTGACACAATGTACTTCGGAGTAAATCAGCACCTACTACATAATTTAAAATCTTAGTATCTTACAGCTCATATAGTTGGCACTATAGAGAAATCCCAGAGTTCTGTCATTTTGACCCAAGATTAAAAGAAAGATAAAATTATTACATCCTTTATTGTTGGCAGGTGAACTTTCACTGTGAAAGGCCCTTAAAAATAGTGAACAGAAACTAACAACGTAAACACCCTCCAAATATATATAAAACCAGTATCAGATAAAGCACTCCCATCTCCACACCAGTCTCTTTGCTTTGGTACTTTTAGTACCTGAGTGCACAGTAACCCATCCAGTGCACACTGAGTAACTCCCTCATCTCTTTTAAGGATAAAGAGTAACATGGTCAAGTCTACACGGACTACTTTGGGTGATGAGACTCCCACACACCATCCTCATACCCATGCAAACAGCGTTTTCATCATCAGTGACACTGCCTGAGGATTTAATGCATCCCAGGAGGTTTATAAATACTTCTTTCTTTTAAAGCAATAATTATTTTGAATAAATAAATTACAGCTGCATTTGCTTTGGTGACCAATTATTTATACGCAGCATAAGTTATCTGCATAAGGCAAGTGATGAGATAGCGTAAGTGAAGTCCCTGAGGATGAGCATCCCCGTGTGCAACAGGTTTGTTTCCCAGTGTGTGCAGACAGCCTGGAAAACAACCAGTCCCAAGGCATCTGCTTTTTAATCTCCAAGCACAGCTGCAGACCGCACAAGGGATTATTTCTGTACCTCTTCAGCAGGCAGGAGTATGCCAATCAAACACAATGCTTAGTAGACGGTGAGAATTAGTTCTCCTAAACCTGGACCAAGTGCTCCACCTTGTGTTAGTCCTTGGCATTCAAACCGAACTTTTCGTTGCCTGCTCTGTAACTGCAGGTCCGGCAGAATAGCTTACGATTCCTTCTGCCTGTGAGGAAGTGTTGTCCATGGTGCCATACGACTGCTGCTCCTTATGGGCGAGCACCGTTCTTTCTGTAGGATGAGGATGCAAGACTTGGGGCACGTACATCTGAAATGACAAGCAATAAAGATTTTACTGGTTGCTCAAATGTTGGGATAATTCACCCCAGATTAATGTTGGGATATTCACCCCAGATAATTTTTCCCCTTGTAACTCTTCTTTTCATTCATTTCCCTTAACACATAAGGCCTTTGTCACCCTAACAGAGGCTTCCTAGTGCAACTCTCACCTGTACTTGCAGATTGCTGTGCAAAGGCCTCTATGAGCCTTGCATCCTTTTAGTGACTTGGCAGGTAAGACATGCTACACATCACAACTTCCAAAGTCACAAAGCTGTGGCAACTGACTGCTTTTGGCAGATGTGCAGATGTAAGGATCTGCCTCATGTAAGGCCCAGAACACAGCATACAGAGGTGCTTAAATTATTGTCTCAGCTACTCCAAACACATCATCCAAGGGTACTTCTGGAACATGACCTGAGAACAGTCAAGGAGCTCAGCTGCAGAACTCTCTGGTCCCACAAGGAAAGTCCCACAGTCCATTCAGATTAATACATCTTACACAAGCTCTCTGGTTAGCAGGGTGAGAAATACAGTTTTTCTAGTAAGCATAAGACAGTATTAGTAACTCTTTAACTTCTTACAGAAGATGTGGTGATGGTTGGTACATCTGTGTCATTTCCTCGTTCCCCTTGCGTGTCTTCTACCTGTAACCAGTAATAGGTGAGGAAAGGAAGGGAGGCAATATCAAATTAATAAGTCAAAGCAATATACAGAGATGGTAAGAGCCCCAAAACCTGCACAGACTGAACTCTCTTCCCATCCTCTTCCATACTTCTTCCATACTGTTCTTCCCTCCCAAATTCAGTTCCTGCTAACACTGTGCCTAGCAGCCTACCTCTGCTAGCAGCCCTCTTTGCCATCTTACTGGAATGAACCTTTGTGAATACATTGCTAGTGAGAAGGCAGAAAGCACCCCGCAGGAACACCAAGCACATAGGTAGATGCTGAAAGGTGTTGGGTATCCATCACTTACCTTGTAATTCAATGGGCTCAGGTACTTGAAACAGCCAAAACAAGTATAAGCCAAGCAAACAGCGATTGTGATGTTGACAACTAGGAAGGTAAACATGGTTGTAGGTGCTTTAAAGCCTAGAAAAGTATCCAGAAAATACAATATAAAAACACATGGCAAAAAAACCCCAAACTAAACCCAACAAAAAAAAACCTTTACCCTCCCCATTTTTAGAGGCCAAGAAAGGTGGCTGCAGTACTTGAACTAGAAACAAGACTCAGAGCAGCTCTTCTCCTTCCTCAGTCTATTGATTGTGAAATGTCACACATAAGAGTCCATTTATTAATTATGATGATGACACCAAACTGGATGGCTTCCACGTAACCCAAAGGATAGGAAATATTTACCTTGGGGGGGGTGTGGAAGAGGAAATGATGAAATTGTATTTAGAAAATGTAAATAAGGGGAGATTGAGATGAGACATTAGGAAGAAATTCTTCCCTGTGAGGGTGCTGAGGCGCTGGCACAGGGTGCCCAGAGAAGCTGTGGCTGCCCCATCCCTGGAGTGTTCAAGGCCAGGTTGGATGGGGCTTGGAGCAACCTGGTCTGGTGGAAGGTGTCCCTGCCTGTGGCAGGGGGTTGGAACTGGATGAGCTTTAAGGTCCCTTCCAACCCAAACCATTCTGTGATTCTATGAAATAACTACAATTCAGAATGAAATACAAAATGTAGACATGAGGGATAACAAGGCTGTAGAATTGCAGAATACAGGTGATGATTACAAGCTGGAAAGCAGTCAATAGTGTGATGCTATCATAAAATATGGGCAGGAAATGGGGGGAA